AAAAGAGGTTGAGGCAGGAGGAGGACTCTGTACAACCTCAGGTTGTTGTAAATCGAAACAAATATCAGAAAAGGAAATGCATAAGAAGTCAAATAAACATACATACACAAAAGTTGAGAGTTGTACCTCAGGAATAGGGGTTGATGTTTGAAGTTGAGAATCGACATTTGTCGATATAGTCGCCGATGGATGATCCTGAAAAATATTGAGAATCGAAATCATGTAACAAGATCTTATCGAAATCTAGGAATATAAAATGATGTAGAAGAGGGACTTACGTGACTGGAATGTGTGGTGGGTGTTGTTTGACCCGTTTTAGTGACTGTATTAGAGTCCGTCGATAATGGATTAACAGTAGTTGGTTGAACAGATCGAGGACTCTTCGATTTTTGTTTCTGAAATTAGAAATCGAAAATAAATGACAAAGAAATATGTATGAGAATCCAAAGTGAATCAGCTATAGATGGAGAAATAAGACGATGAGAAATCGAGAAAAACCTTCGATTTTTTCAAAGTTGAAGTAATGGTGGCAGAGTGCTTGCGTTTCCTGATGAGGGCCAATGGATCTGACTCATCGGAGGACTCCCAGTCCTTCTCTTTCTCAGAGGCGACAGTCTTAGAAGATTTCGAAACTGTCGAAAAAAGGAGAACAGTTAATTAATAGTATAAAGAAAACCAAAAGATACTCCTAAAAGAGGTAGCAAAATCTCACCAAAAGGTGATGGAGTCAAAATCTTGACTCGGTCGATATGTACAAGCCAGGGAGGAAGAAGAATTTGAGGAAGGTTTAGGTAAGGGAAATAGGACAATTTCGATACAAAAATATCTTTGTTTTTTGGTTTGGGATGAAGAGTTTCTTTTAGGGACCTCAATTCTCGAACCCGTTTAGGATGAGTTAAAGATTTGGCAAGTCCAAAAGGAGCTGTGGGAAAAGTGGGAAGGTGATCGGGACAATACATTTCAAAAGGGATTTTTCCTCGAGGATTGATTATTTTGTGGTTCGATCAATTAATGTTTGTTTTGTTGGCTAAGGAAATAACAGCATCATAGAATGTCGATTCTAATTTTAAGGGGTTGTAACATATTCGATAAAAATTCTCGAATCGAGATATTTGGAGATAGTGGGAGTGTGTACCTTTCTTCGCCTTCGACTTGTCCTGCAACACGAGAGAGGGATGAGCAGTCAATTTTTGTTGAAGTATGGCAAAATCAGAATGATTATTCGAAAACCAATCGGCCCACCACTCAGAGAAACCTAAAGTTGATAAATAATTGGATTCAAAAGCATAAGGATAAAAATGCATTGGGGTTTTTGGCAGCAATTTGGAGAGCTCCCGTCCGATTGTCGATTCACTTAACTTGGACCTTGGGGAAATATCGAGAGGATAAAAAGGTAAAGCTTGACTCAGACCAAACTGCCGCGAGAAAAGCTGGGGGTAATAAGTGATGAGTTGAAGGTCCTTCGATTGGAAACCCGATATCAAGACATCTTGAGCTAAGTAATTACTCCATACTTCGATCAATTCCGATTGTAGTCCAGGAGTAAGAGCAGGAAATTTCGATCTAAACCATGTTTGCCCTCGAAGTTGGTCACTTATTTGTCCAAGATACACAGTAAAAGGGGCCAAACTCGAATCAAAATGAAAGCGGGTCAGCAAAAATTGCAAGTAATTTCGGTAACTAGTCTCATCGGATTTGTGGTGGGGATGTCGAGAAGATAATCGAGCACCCTCTAAATTCAGACTTGGGGGGATTTGTAAGGTTAGGGGGAGGGTACTTTCAAAAATCGAGGTGAGCCATAATTGAATAAACCAAATAGGACCCGAAAAATTCCCCAAGGCCCTAGGGGCGTTCAAAATATCGACGGCCTCATCGAAAGCAGTATAAACATGGACCAATAATAACTTAGCTAAATTAATTTGTGGTTGGCCAGTGTGAAGAATATAGGCGAGGTTATAGAGGTGGGATGTAATTTGGATGGATCGGGGGCAGAAGACGTGGGTGCATAACCAGTATACCAAGAAGGTCACGTGCTCCTCATCAGAAACAACCATTGTTGAGTCATCAATGAAATGTTTCTCGAGAAAATGCCCATAGGCTTTCGATTCCCAATCGATTTTGGATCTTAAGGAATTGTCCGAAGAAAAAGCACCTTTAAAATATCTTTCTCCTATGGGTTTTAGCCCGGTAATAGCAGCAATTTGCGAAAAGAGTGGGCGAAAAAGGGTCACAAGGCAGTTCCAAAGCATGCAAGTCCTTATTCCATAAATGAACAACAGATAAAAACATAGACATATCCAAGAAGGACAAGTCACACTGAGACAAATGAAGAAAATCGAAAATTCCTACAGCCCTCCAACGGTCCCCAAACTTAGCCTTAATTCGATCAAACCATTTCATGTACGAGGATTTTTTGTGAGGTGGACCCGTTCGATATGCCCTGGATACAATGTGTAGAAAATCTATTCGAACCTCAGGTTGATGGACAAGAGCTTTACTCTCTGAAGGAAGGCTGAGGGAAGAAGAAAAAGATCCGCCACAATAGCGGATAGGACCTCCGAAAGCGTAATTAATATTATCAGCAGTATAGGGAATGAGTACCTGTGTCTCAGCAATTTTCTGAGAAGCTTCCTCCATCAGACGAACTGGAGCGAATTTCTGGTTATTGATCTCCAATAGGTTGGTGGCCACCGAAGGAAGTGGTGGGGTGGAAAAGTCAGAGGATCGGGATGAGGTTGCCATTTCACTAGCTGATAGAGCAGAGGAAAACAGAGGGTAAAAGATGGAGGTGCAAGGAAGAAGACGAAGATGCAGAGGAGGAGTAAAAGTTTGTGGTAAAAGACAAGAGTAAAAGGCTAACAAACGTTTGAAGCACTAGGGTACTGGAAGCGACGAAGGGTAATTAATGTGGCGTGTGCAGTGAGGCAGCAGAACTGACATGACAGGTGACATAAAGTGGAAAACACCCTAAAACCCCAGCAACCCTAAACCCTAAGTTCTGATGGGCCTCCAAAAGGCGGGAATCATGTTGAAAGAATATAAATACAAAACTTTTATATTCTTCCAAGGGGGCATTCTGTTAATGGGAAGTCGATAACGGGATCGAAAAATGAAGAAAGAAAAATCAAAGACCATACGATTGGTAAAAGACATCGAGAATGTATTTTCGATGAAATTGGTAAAAGCCGATAACCACGAAGATAAAAGTACATCGATAATCAAAATCGAGAATCGAAGAAACAAGTTTCGATGCCTATTGTGGAAGTTAGAATAGTACAAAATTAAAGGGAATCAAAAGCAAAATTTAAGATACTCGATGTCTGAAATCGAGATCGAGGGAGCAGTTAACACACACAAGGAACGTGGGAAACAGTTTCTAAACCACAAAAGAGATCGAAGGAGGAGTAGTTCTCTTATACGCAAGAACGTGGAGTGCAGTTTTCTAAAACTGTAAAACTAAAGGAACGGGCACGTAGGATCGTGGGGATATTGGTATTAACCACTCCTGGGAGGTTACTTCAAAGATGCTCTATAAATAGAGCAAAGACGGAAAAGGAGGGGGAAATTGGCAGAGAGAGCAGGAATACTAGTGAGAAGTCTACCGGAGAACGACGAACATCATGAAGTTTCTGGCGATCTGGATTTCCATGTTCATTGATTTCCTTTACCGTTTTCTTTATTTTCCCTGGTAATTTACTTTGATGCAGTTTATGTTTAGCAACTTTAAGTTTCTGTATTTTCAATTCCTTGTTATTTCTCTTTAATGAAAGTTAAGTTTCTGCGTTTAAGTTCATTGTCATTTACATTTCTGCAATTTCGATTTCCTACTATTTACATTTCTGCAATCTCGATTTCCTGCTATTTACATTTCTGTAATTTCGATTTCCTGTTATTTATATTTCCGCAATTTCGATGCTTTGTCGTTTACACTTAATGTAAATTTGAGGTTTCCGCATTTTTCATTCCTTCGCAGTTTTACATTCGGTATTGCTTTTCGATTTGTCACTTTACTGTTTTCCTTATTTCGAGTACTTCAAATACAAAATACCAAAAATAGTGTTTTCGATTATTTAATCTTAGTGTTTTATACAGTTGTATTTTCAATTCTCATACGCATTTCGATTGAAATTCAGTTGCTAGCCTAAGTATAAAGAATCTACGTGGTTGAATTTTGGTTAGAATCAAAGTCTTTTAAGAATCGAAATTAATCGAAATTTCACCGGAAATAGTTATTAATAAGATGTGTTTATGATCAATAGTTAAAAATTTATAATGAAAATTATTTTAAATGAAATTAAATTTATGAATGAATTGATTGGTTCGGTAATATTTTATATGTAAACTTATTGTTTGTTTTTGTTTTTTTTTTTCTAATTACATAGTATAATTCAATAAGATAAATTAAAATTTCAAGCTAAAAGAGAATCAAGTATTTTGTTTGAAATGTACATATTTATAATACCTTATGAGAAACAGAAATATATTATTAATGATGTTATGTAAATATATTATATATCTATATATGCATTAAAGTTATGTGTTTATTATCTTATTTATTTTAGTAACAATATTGGATTATTACATCGAATATTATACAGAATCTTCGTATAATGTTGGCTACTAGAACCTAAGAAAATCTCAATTGAAAAATGAAAATTTTCTTTCCACAGAATCTCAATTATAGTTATTTTTATGATAATTTATATTTTTAGGGTTTATTTTTTAAAACGTTTCAATTAATTAAAAAAGGACAAGAATGTTTAATTTCATTTATTATTTTTTTATTCCTTTCTTTTCTAGTTATTTTATTTTGTTTATGAGAGAGAAGTTAATGCTGCAAATGTAGCACTAGAATGGTCAACGCAGATGCTCTTGAAAGCCCTCTATAAAAAGAAACTGGACATCACGCAAACCACCTGGTTCTTCTGAACGCCAGATTCAGTGAACAGAGCACAACTCTTAACAGAGACTATTCTCGAAACAGAAGAAGACAATCCAGAATGAGTAGCGGCACCGGACGAGTAGTGTGTGTCACCGGCGCTTCCGGTTACATCGCTTCTTGGATCGTCAAATTTCTTCTCCATCGCGGTTACACTGTTAAAGCCAGCGTTCGCGACCCAGGTATGTGGTTTCTTTTTTCTACCTTATTTTTTGTTTCGCACGTAATTATTTTTCGTCACCGGCATGCCTTGTCATTCGAATATTGAAGATTGGATAATATGTGATGTGCAGGTGATCCCAAAAAGATAAATCACTTGCTTAACCTTGATGGTGCCAAGGAGAGATTGCGTCTCTGCAAGGCGAATCTTCTAGAGGAAGGTTCATTTGACTCTGTTGTTCAAGGTTGTGACGCTGTGTTTCACACTGCTTCTCCGTTTTATCACGATGTCAAGGACCCGCAGGTTCGTTTCATTTGCAATTCGATTTGTGCATTTTGTTTTTATCCCTACATGTATACATTTGTTTTAATTTTATCTATTTCAGGCTGAATTGTTGGACCCAGCCGTGAAGGGGACTCTCAATGTTCTGAAATCGTGTGTGAACTCGCCGTCGCTGAAACGCGTCGTTTTAACTTCTTCTATTGCTGCTGTTGCGTACAACGGAAAGCCTCGAACCCCTGATGTAGTAGTTGACGAGACCTGGTTTTCTGACCCAGGTTTCTGTAGGGAATCACGGGTATGTTTCCTCTAATAAACTATCATTAAATGTAATCATTTTTACCGAGATGAAACTTCATTGCTGAACCACACAAATAGTAGATATGGTAAAGTTTTGTGCTTTTTAAAAGACAGAAATTAGAGAAAGTGCCAAAGGTATTTTTTGAACAAGAAGCAGCAGAGTTTGTTAAATTGAGGGAGATGTTGAAGAAGAAGGAAACATGAGATGAAAATGAGAAAACATCTTCTAGCAATCTCTGTTTTTTTTTTTGGTTTTTAGAATAGAAACTATATTCAAGCGTACTAGATTTTGAGTAAGAAATTGATTGCTGAGATGTAAATTGCTATAGAAAACAGTTCTTTAAACCAAAAAATTAGATGGAAATCAAACAGGCCTTTATTCTTTTGCTCATCTACTTGTAAGCAAGCCAAATCGTTGCATGGATCCGTTATAATGAACTTGCAACTGAGAGACGCTTCCTTCTGTTCCTTGCTTAACTAAGCACCTTAACCAGGAGTCAGATGCATTAAAATTGATCTAAAGCTCCTGCCTGCTTTCCTTTTTCTTACCCTGGAAAGTTTGTATGCATGTCTCTTTTTTGTTAATTTATTCTGATGAGGAATTGGGATAGTATGCTTTCTATTTGAAAGTTCAATTATGCAACTTTCCTTGCTACACGTATAGCTTGGAACAAGTTAACCGACTAAATCATGAATGCAAGATAAATGGACTCCGTGGGCAGGGGATGCTTTTCCTTTAATAATGTAACAAAATGTTTTTAGAGAGTGAATATACCTTCTTGAAAGACTCATCATCTTTTTTTTTTTTTTTTTTTTAAATAAAGACTAATAATCATGCATGTGAGATAAATTGATTGTAAAATGATGTCTCTGGATTTTTTTTTATCATATTCACTGTTGTAGGAAGAAGATGAATATACAAATTTTGAATATCAATTTAGATTTTGTTATGCTGTTTATATTTAATTTCTTTCAAGTCTCTCTCTCTCACAAATATGTTTGTTGGGGAAGGGGATGTACTGGTGTGCTATACATGGACTTTAATTGTGTCGTAAAGTTCATGTTTGTGTTGTATCCGGCATTAGTGTCAGAGTCCCTGCCTCAGAGGGCATTACTGGAACTGGAGTAGATCCTGGACTTACATATTAGATCCATCAATGATACAATATTTTAAAAAAGATTGTGTTTCATTTCAACTTCCAGCCTCCCTCTCCACCATACCATTTTCTTGGCTGTTTTCCTCACCTTTTTTCCACTGTTTCTGCCACTGATGCCACTGCTACTGCTGCTACCTTTTTGACCTATGACCCCACCATTAGAGTTGCCTTTGTCAGAGACGACCAGTCGTTTGTCTTAGGACAAATAGAGTGGCCACACATCTCACGCCAATCACTCTTCGTTGTGCATTCTCTCTCTTCCCTTCATCAGCTGCCGCATGTGGCAGCACACTGAGCACCTTTTGGGCATCTATCATAGGTCTCAGACTCGGCTCACCATGCTTTGTCCCGATCTGTATCCTCCCTTGTGTCTGGAGTTTACATTTCTCACCTATTTTGGGAATGTTTTCTGTCGCCTGCGACGTTTTTCTCTTTCCTACAATTGCTTTCTTTCTCCTGCATCTTTTTTGCTACTAGGTTTGATTTTTCCATTTTTACTATGTTAATGTCCCCTTTATTGATAAGTTAGATGAAACTAATTATGACACCTAGGCATTTGATTGCATTGGCTTTAGGGAAAGGATTATGTTGACCATCTTACTTAGACCACAACCTCCACTAATGAAAAAGATCTCCCTTGTTGGTCCAAAGTTGATACTTAAATTTGTAACGCTCTTAAGTTGACTATTCATCCTTCCCGAAAACTAATATTTCATGCCCATGAGACATGTTCTTGAGTCTGGGAACAGGCTTAATTGTTGTATACAAATGTCATTCAACGTCTTTATGACGTTTGTGAAATTTTCTTGAGTGTCATTGTTCCTAGACGTCTTGATGGCTCCATGGGAGAGTATTTGGGAAAAGTTCAACTCTTCCTTCTCTCATTTTGTTAATATATGAGAACAACTTAATAATTCTAATTTTATATGCATTAGACAATTGCAGCTGAACTATAATACTTATATTTATTCAAATGTCAACAAAGTGTTATAATTTGTCATGATATTATGTTGCCATGTTGTTCTTCACATTTCTCACTAATTCCTATTTATGTTTCAGATGTGGTATACACTTTCAAAGACTTTGGCTGAAGATGCTGCTTGGAAATTTGTAAAAGAAAACAACATTGATATGGTTACAATTAACCCAGCAATGGTTATTGGACCTCTCCTGCAACCTGTCCTTAACACAAGTGCTGCTTCAATTTTAAATGTAGTTAATGGTAATTACTATTTATATATTATGCTGTAATATCTATTTTTTACTTTGTCTGCATCTTAAACTCAAATTATTTATGGATTAGACAAAATTAAAAGGAAATATAAAATAATGAAACAGAAGTTAAAATGGAATGTGAAAAGGAGCCTTATAATAATTGTTAGATATTTTAGATATTATTAGTGAATTTTCCATATTTACTTGACTTTTAATTATAAATATATGTGTATTTTAGACATAAGAAAATTAATCTATATTTAGCTTTTCAATATACTCAAACAATGATGAACCTAGGTTCTCTTTTTTGGCCGCCACCCCTATCCCTGCACCTGTCCTATCCCTGCACCTGTCGCCGACGTGACTAAAGTTGCCGTGGCTGGAGTCGTTGTCGTCAGAGTTGTCGTCGCCGGAGTGACAATTCAGACCAGCAACCACAACGTTTTGCTCGTCTTGACTAGGCGACTATCGCGCCATTGAGATCGCTGCTCCACGCGCCATTTAAAGTTTTTGGGGTTTTTCTCTCTCTTTCTCCATGGCTTCTTTCGTTCCCTTTTTCGATATCTCTTCTTCTGCCACCAATCTGTCTGGCACGTCAGTCAATACTAATTATGTGATGTGCACTTGTCTATTAATAAGTTAGATGACACTAATTATGCGACTTGTGACATGGGCATTAGACATTAAACTTTGATTCAAGAGTCAGGAGTATGTCGATCATCTGACTCAGAATGTGACTACTATTGCTACTAGTGAAGTTTCCTGTTGTTGGATGAAAATTGATGCTCAGTTATGCATCATTCTCAAGTATATCATTCACTCCTCGTTAAAGCAAATGTTTCGTGCCTACGAAGCGTGTTCCGAGGTTTGGGAATATGCAAAATTAGAATACAACAATGACACTCAATGTCTTTATGGAGTTTCTCACGATCTTCTCACTGTTGTTGCTCCTCGAAGTCATGGCCCAATGGTTGAATATTTGGATAAAATTCATGCTCTTCTTCATGACTTTAATGAGTTATTACCTCCTGTCTCCACTCCTGCCCAAGAACTAGAGTAATGGTCAAAGTTCTTCATGTTGGCATTACATGGGCTTGCCGATGAATATTCTTATGTCCGTGATCAGATTTTGGGTTCTCCTATTGTGCCCAATTTCACTTTTACTTGTTCCACCCTTTTGCGTGTGTCAAGTAAACACATTGATACATCTGCTTTCGTCGATGATTCTTCTGCTTTGGTGTCTCAGCGTGATGATCACAATCACTCTCACAAGCCAAGAAAAGGGTGTCACAAGTGCGATCATTGTCACAAGCTAAGTCACAAGGTTGACAGGTGTTATACATTATATGGTCGTCCTCCTTAATCTGCTTTAGTTGTCCAAACTGATCCTCTTTCACAATTATCTAATGTGGATCCTACTTCCTCTTATACTGTAGACAAATATGTTATTTTCAATTATTTTTTTCAAATGGTACGAGGATCGTCAGAACTATAGTTTCACTATTTCTGTTGGACGTACTTGTACATCTTTTGTTAGCGTAACTCAATCTCCTTTTTTTGGACTTTGGGTTCTTGACTCAGGCGCCATAGATTAGGAACAAATCTTTATTTTTTCTTTATCCTCTCTGAATAATGATCGTGAATACCTTTCTCGTTCTTTTAAACGTTTTATGGCTTCTCATGACATTCTTTATCAAACTTCATGTACTTATATACTTCAACAAAATGGGGTGGCTGAGTGCAAGAATAGACATATTGTTGAAACAACTCACTCTTTTAATTCATGGTGAGGTTCCTAAACATTTTTGGGGTGATGTTGTTTTTATTGTTTGTTATCTTATCAATCGCATGCCATCTTCGGTTTTACATAACAAAATTCCTCATTCTTTTTTATTCCATGATGAACCTTTACATCCCTTACCTTTTAAAGTTTTTCGGTCTACATGTTTTGTTGATAATTTTAGTTCTGGTTTTGATAAGTTATCTCCTAAATCACAAAAATGTGTTTTTTTAGGATTTAATCGATCACAAAATGGATATAAGTGTTTCTCTCATTCTCTTAACCGTTATTTTATTTCTACAGATGTCACATTTAATGAGTCTTCCTTTTACTTTAAATATCCTTCTTCTTGTGTGTTGTCGTCTGCTATTGTCAATATTCCTATTATGTGTGATTCTCCTCTTAACCCACCTTCGGATCCTCCTCCGCCACCACCACTTCAGGTTTATAGTCGAAGACAACGATCCCAACAACCACCAAATGACTCATTTCTAGTACCAACTCCTTTGTCTTCTCCGGCTCTGACAATTGAGTTTGACTTTCCAATTGTCTTCCGTAAAGGTATACATTCTACTCGTAATCTCTCTCCTCATTGTACTGCTTTGAGTTACCATAGATTATCTCCATCTTTTTATACTTACCTTTCGTCCATTTCTTTTGTGTCAATTCCCAAATCTGTAGGTGATGCATTAGCCCATCCTGGTTGGCGTCAGGGTATGCTTGATGAAATGAGTACTTTTCAGAATAGTGGAACTTGGGAACTCATTCCATTATCTTTGGAAAATATGTTGTTGGTTGCATGTGAGTTTTTGTTGTCAAAGTTGGTCCTAATGGTATTATTGACCGTCTCAAAGCTCATCTTGTAGCCAAAGGTTACTGATAGATTTGGAATTGTGTATAAAAGGAGGAATAACAGAATGTGACAGTTATAACCTCCTGTAGATGTTTTTCAATATATTTGATTATTATAAATAGTCAAGGTTTTGTTGGAAAGAAGGCAATTTAGTTTTTCTAAAGGAAAGGAGTTGTGGGAGAGTGAGGTCCTCTCGAAAGATCCTCAATTGTTGTATCTTGTTACTGTTATTTACCACATTGGCATAAACAATTTTCTTAGTAATAAAGTCATACAAGAATCTGGCTTGAAAGTTTTTGTGGTTATAACTTATTCTATCAATTGGTATCAGAGTCTCTTTCTTGGTCCTATGGTAGCTGTGTGGTGGCTTATGGTTAGCACTAGGATGGAATCAAGACTCGACGCTTTAGAACGTATGTTTCAAGAAGTTGTGCGTGGTAAAGATAAATCAGAGAATGAACAGCATGAGTGTATGCAACACCTGGAGAATATGATCAGTGGCCTTGTGGTTGTGGTGGAGAAGATGTCAGGTGCATTGATGTCTGGGCAGAATAAGAATGTGATTACACCGCAAAAATCTGTTGAGCAAGATCAAGATTGGCAGCTGAATGGTGGGTCACGGTGGCGTAAATTAGATATTCCCATATTTGCAGGAGATGACGCTTTTGGCTGGACCAATAGGTTGGAGAGATACTTTTGCCTGCAAGAAGTATCTGAAGTGGAATGAATGCAGGCTGTGATGATAGCACTGAAGGGAAAGGCCTTAAATTGGTTCCAATGGTGGGAGTCATGCAATCCAAATCCCACTTGGGAATCCTTTAAACTGGCAGTGGTGTGACATTTTCAGCCCAACATGTTGAGGAATCCTTTTGAGGAGCCCATTGTGTTAACTCAAACAAATTCATTGAAAGATTACATTGAACAATTTGAGCAGTATGCAAGATTGTTAAAGGGAATTGATCAAGATTATCTCATTGGGATATTCTTAAATGGATTACTGGATGATATTAAGGCTAAGGTGAAGTTGTATGATCCTTTAAATTTGGCAGAATTAATGTTAAAGACTCAAATGGTGGAAGACAAAATCAGAATCTTGTCTAAAGGGAAAGGATAGTGGAAAATTGGAGTGGTTTTCGGTACCAAGATTAATTGGATAACAAGAACCTTTTCCAGAGAAGGTGGGACTCAATTATCTCTTCCGGATAGAGGGAAAGAAGAAGGAAGAGGTACAACCAATCATCCTGCTAAAATTCAGGGCTTAAATCGTAATCGCGGATCATCTTTTAGAAGGTTGACAAATGAGGAGATGCAGGATAAGATTAAAAAAGGATTATGCTTCCGATGTTTGTCGAAACAAATAATTCCACATACTATTAGTAATCAAAGGAGTAAACGAGGAAGATGGTTTACTAGAAAGTAAGGAGGAATTGGTGGAAGGAGAAGAAGGTGCTAAGCTCATGTAATTATCCATGTTTACCTTGGTAGGACTTACCACCAAGAAATCATGGAAAGTTTGGGGAAATATTGGAAAAGAAAAAGTTGTTGTGATGCTGGATTGTGGAGCATCCCATAATTTTTTGTCAAAAGAATTGATTGACAGATGTGGATTACAAACAATGGAAACTCCCACTTATGTGGTGTCCGAAGGGTACAATGTCAAGGGAAGTGTGCAGATTTTGTTTTGGAAATCCAGGGCTTGAAGATTCAACAAGAATTCTTCATTTTTGAGATAGGGGCAGCTGATATTATCCTGGGGTTGGAATGGCTGGCCAGTTTGGGGAGGTTAAGACTGATTTTGGGAAGTTGAAGCTTACCATTGGCGAAGGGGATGAACAACGTATGGTAGTAGGCGATCCAGCATTGACTACCACTGGAACCTCATTTAAAAAATTTACCTTATACCATGTTCAATCCTAGTTGAAGGAAACTTAGATTCGTAAATGACTGATGACATCAGCTTGGGGGGGGGGGGTTGCATTTGGAAAGTAATCTCAGAAAAATGAGGCATACAATGATACAACATCTCACTATCTTTTTGTGTTATTTAGTTGTTATTGTGATGAATATTAGTAGTTGCTATTTGATTCCAATATTTTTTATTTTTCGCTGCACAATTCTTAGATGATTGAAGAAACTGTTCCATCACCTTGATACAGGTGCGCAAACATTTCAAAATGCATCTTTTGGATGGGTCAATGTGAAAGATGTTGCAAATGCCCACATTCTAGCATATGAGAGTGCTTCAGCTAATGGAAGATATTGTTTGGTTGAGAGAGTGGCACACTACTCAGACATTGTGAAAAGTTTACGTGATCTGTACCCAACATTACAACTTCCAGAGAAGTGAGTATAATTATTTTGATAGTTTCTAGAATGCATATAATTCGTATAAAACGTTCACAGAAATCTCCTTGTGTTGTACATTACTGTTTAGTGCTTTATTTACTTGTTTGAAAACTGGTGTCAGAAATGCATTCATTCAGCATTGATGATATGAAACTATACAAAACCTTAAATTATATAGCATAAAACAACATAACAAACTTCCTAAAACAAGACTACATACAACTACCAATTTGTCCTGATTTACAATATCAATCTATTGTAACTCACGCTTAAAAAAACTGTTGTAATTTACAAAAATTACAATAAATTTCTGTGCAACTGGTGTGGGACAGTAACTCCTATTAGCTGGATATTGGATATTTAATGACGTTCTCATACATGAATTTTGATACATTCCCTATGTTAATTAGGTATCCTGGATCTAAATTTGTGTGTGTAATATCGGTTCATATTGAACTCTTCGTGCATATTTGAGAGATACTTAGTTTCACCGTAATCTAACGTTTAGCAGCTCCCATTATTTTACGTCTCAGTATATATTTGTAGTTATGCTAACTGATGCATAACTTTTCATTTGGAATTCATTTCTGAATTATATGCTCTTGAGATGAGGCCAAGAATAAAAATTTTGTATATGTTGGTCTTGCAAATGTTATTTATTATGACAAAATCATTTGTTTATGGGACTCAACGTGACTCTTCATTCTGTATAATTTTGTTTTGCAATTGTATAGCATAAATAGTTCAAGTGTTTTCTTGTTTTGTTTTTTACTAATACCGTTTTGCTGTCAACAATATTACCAGGTGTGCAGATGATAAGCCATATGTGCCAACATATCAGGTTTCCAAAGAAAAAGCAAAGAGCTTAGGGATTGAATTTATTCCTTTGGAAGTGAGCCTCAAAGAGACTGTGGAAAGCCTTAGGGAAAAGAAATTTGCCAAATTTTAATTTATTCCCCTTGGAGAAACACTTTTGATTTGTGATATCTCCCAGAGGATAAAACATAGAACCCTTATTTGGTCACTTGGCTTCTTATGCTCATGTTTATGAATAAAACTGTTATTAGCACTGAAATAAGTCATCCTTGGGTCTGGTTTGTATTAGTGATAATTTAGTTTCAAACATGCTTGTCCCGGTAGAGTTTGCATTACAGATTGAATTTATTCCTTTGGAAGTGAGCCTCAAAGAGACTGTGGAAAGCCTTAGGGAAAAGAAATTTGCCAAATTTTAATTTATTCCCCTTGGAGAAACACTTTTGATTTGTGATATCTCCCAGAGGATAAAACATAGAACCCTTATTTGGTCACTTGGCTTCTTATGCTCATGTTTATGAATAAAACTGTTATTAGCACTGAAATAAGTCATCCTTGGGTCTGGTTTGTATTAGTGATAATTTAGTTTCAAACATGCTTGTCCCGGTAGAGTTTGCATTACAGATTGTATCCTTGTTATATTTGGATCGAAATTGAATGTTTGTTGATGTGGTATTAAGTTGTGAGAAAATTCTTCTTTGAAGATATCGAAATTGAATGTTTATTGATGTGGTGCATGAAGTTTGGAGAAAATTCTTTATTGAAGATAAATAACAGAAGAGTATGTGGTTAATTGATGAAAACCGAATGTGTAGTTGTTTTGCAGACGCTATCGTTTTTGTGAGAAAGTGCACGTTAATGTTTGTAATATTATTTATCGGAAGGTAAAATAGGTACACTAAATATAAATATCTTTGTATATAAATATAGATTATTAGAAAATGTCTGAAGCAAAATATATATATATATATTATTTGTATCATTTATGACTAATGAAGAATATCATAGGTCATCAACTATCTGTGTGCAATGCAATCTCTATTCATGGCTTCTATTATAACAGATTTTGCATCCACCTTCACCAATCTTTCTTATAGGAAGGATGGAATCAGAATCACTTTGGTTCAGACATGCTTGTGTTGTCTGACCTTAGTGCTCATGTGCCATTAATGGTGTCAGTAGAAAAGAAGGGTGTTTTGATTCGCCATTGAAGCAATGATGTCGTCGACATGATAGGTGACCATACTCAATGGCTACAATGTCAGGGATGCATACATTTCTCAAAATCTTGCATAACGTCCGTTACTTGTTCGACGAAAGTCCTCAAAGATATATGCAGTTTTCACTATGCCTGTTTACCTGTTTATGTTGAGGTTTCTTTTCAGAGCAGTGATACACAAATTACGGATAGTGGGAGTACAAGTTTTTACATTACGACACAAATTACTAATGCGTTCTTGCAGATCATTATGGTGGCTGAGAGTGTTTATGTCATTATACTGAATAATATTTACATTTTTTTTTCAATTTTAAAATAAATATCTCCTTTCAATTTTTTATGATTTTCAAATATACAATATATATACGTACATTCATATTTTTTAATAATTTATATTCACCTCTTTTATATTATCAATAACATGTACTCATCTTCTTTAATTTTTGTAAGAAGTTCGTTAATTTTTAATTTTCATAATTTTTATTTAATTTTTAGTCAATATGATAATTTTAAATAAAATAAAAATATTATTTTATTAAACATGTAAAAAAACAAATATTTATCTAAAAATTTGAAAATATAAATATTATTTTATTGAAAATATATAAAGAGAAGTCTTCTTTTGAACCACAAGAATTGGAAGTGTCATTGGGACGAAGGTGGCCCCATCCTCATGAGTCATGTTTGTAACCGGAAGAATAATTCCACGTTTTGTATCCTGCAATACAATCCTTTGGCTTACCCTTTACACGGAAATTAAGGCTAAAGAACAATCTCGAGCAACGCATAGGCTTCTCCGACACTCATCTATTTCCATGGGCTAAAACCTACAACAGTTACATATATATTAAAAAAAAGTATCATGCTTCTGGTGCCACCAAGGGCCAGGTAACTGAATTCATTCTCGAATCTTTAATCTCTAATTTTTAACACAAAGAAAGCACACTCTTAGGTTCCTTTATTGCCTTTCATACTTCACAATTTTTTTGGCTACTATTATTCTCTGCCATCTTGCTTCCACTACACCTTAGATTCTCTCTCCCCTTCCATCTAACTTCAATTTTCAAAGGGTTTTCCTGTATGCACAGTTCTGTATTATTGGCAAGAGAATCCAACTGCGTGGTAATCTTTACTTTGCTCAAATAAACTGCCTGGGAATCTTTGCCACCCTATTATCTAAATCTGAGAATGGTATTTGACATCATTCCTGGGCTATTATTTAGTCAAATACATATTCCTCCTTGATCAGGACTGCTCAAAATGAATTCTTTGACTTTTTTGTTCTAGGTATATGCTTCTTGGCATATGTTCCATATTAGGTCTGTGTGCATGTTTTACATAATATATTGGGAAGTTGTTTGTGTTGTATTCCATTTTCATGTCATAGTATTAATTTCAGATGGATGTTGCAGACACACTTATTTGTTGAGAGATTGCAGCTGCCTATTCATTTGGGGTGTAGAAAGAAAATATGGATGATGGAAATGCTGAGCTTTCTGATAAGCTTTCAGATAATGTTCTATTTTTGAATCCAGAGTCATCTAGCAGTTTTCAGGTTTCAACATCTGCGAACACAGTTCCTGAATTATGTAGGAGTACCAGCAGAACATGCACCCACACTCACACTTGCAATCCACCTGGCCCTGATGCTGCTCACACACACACATGCTATCACACGCACACTCAAATTTTTGCACCTGATGACGAGGACAAGGAGCACACCAACTCGAAACCAAAAAGGCCTTCTGGCAACCGAGAAGCAGTTAGGAAGTATAGGGAGAAGAAGAAGGCACAAACAGCATACTTGGAGGAGGAAGTTAAGAAATTGCGTATGGTGAATCAGCAACTAGTAAGGAAACTACAAGGGCAGGCACTTCTTGAAGCAGAACTGGCAAGGTTGAGGAGCATTTTGGCACACCTTAAGGGGAAAATAGACAGTGAATTGGGTGCTTTCCCATTTCAAAAGCAGTGCAACTCGTCTTACATTTTCAAAGAAGGGGATGCTGGTTTGCTGTCCACAGCAAGGACAATTGGTCTTCAGTGTCAGAACAACTTGTCATGCTTCCATCCACATGCAGGATCATCATCCCAGGTCAACAACATTTGTGAATATGGAAAGTCCATGAGTCCATGGGAAGGAAACTGCCAACCTGAAGTTGTAGATTGTCAAGTAGATGCAAATAACATGACCAGTACTGAAGGACAAACTGTGGATACTGTGGATAACTTCTTATCATCTGCATCTCAAGAGGGATAGTTTAGCCAGACAAATGTCTTTCTCATGAGTTTCTTTCCACTCGTTGTCACGGATAATAGGTAAGATGATGTATATACAAATAGTGTTACCCTAAAAGGTATGTCTGTTACATAACTCATAACATGAGTCATGAAGTCTGCATTCTGCAATCTATAGGATATGTATATATAGGCAAAGTATTTTATAGATTTGTACAACATGCTAGCACGTAAAAAGTTATTTACTTCTTGATAAACAAAATTCCTTGTGTATTAAGTTTTTCATGATAAATAAACTAATACTTTTCACCTGCTAGAAGTATTATCAATGTTCCCTCTAAAACAACCCATCCTACAACAGTATGAAGTCTTTGTTGGGGAAATATCACATCTGTTCAATTATTGGAGTGGTCTTATATATATGTTACACAAATTCATCTAATATCAGTTGGTTTTAAATTAAAATCTGACAGTATCAAAGTTTATAAAACATCTTGATAATTATTTATTTTGGTGAGCTCACTTGGCTTGACAGACATTTCTTCTCGTGGGGTTCTGTTGGGGAAGTCCCAGTCTTTAGATCATCTTTGCCAGCCATTTATCTTACATACATAAGTTAATTTGCAATTAAAAAACTAATCTTGTTTCCTGTATGTAATGATTTAGAATGTATTGGAGATATAAGATATTTGTGTTGTTAGGATTGGTTATATAAGCCACAGTGTATTCATCATGTTAGTTGATTTTCTCTTTTGAGTAAATTCATAGTTCAGTTTTATCCTTTATCTTTCTTTTCTATATTCTGAACCATGGGTTCTGATTGACTTAGAAGATATGTATGTTGGAAATAAATTATATTTTTTAAAAATTGAATAAAGAATGAACCATGTTTCCAGAAGCATTGATTATTTATTTATCCTTTTTTTCAACTTATTTATATTATGATTAATTATTTTTTAGCATTGATTGTTAAGTAACCTCAAATTTTATTAAATCTAAAACTCAAATAAAAACCGAATTACAATTTAAAAGCATAAGCAGTCCTTTTTTTCTTCCTCTTACAAACGTTGCTCATTTCATGCGTGCTTCTCATTATGATCATAAAATAAATTACAAAATTTTAATATTTATGAAATAATTTGACATTTTATTTAAAATGTGAATTACACCTTATCTTATTATCTTAATGTATTTAGATCTAAGATAATCTCGAATGTGTTTTTTCCATCCAAATTCATGTATATGTTCCTCCACTGGTTTTCTCCTAAAACAATTGCATATATTATACTCACTTCTCTTCTATTTAATTTACTTAATATATACTTTCTTCTACGTCTCTCCTATTAATTTTATGACTTTCGTTATTTCTTTAAAATTTTCACACCCATTAATTAAATTTTTGAGTAGCCTTATTAAAAACAAAATAAATAAAATGAATTACATTGTGACTTATGTTGTGAAAATTACAAAATTTTGGATGTACTCGAAAGTTTGTTTCAAACTAGTTAGATTCATAGGAAATAAAGATAAAAAGAAATTTCACTTCTCCATAAACTTATATACATGACAAAAAAAAAGTGAAAAATTTGGAGAAATTATACAATAAATTTTTACAAATCCGTTCGTACATAAATTAATTTTAACTTATAAAAATGTCAATTTCAGTTTTTTTTTTTCTTATAGAAGTTGTCTAAAGAAAGATGTAACACACATAATCAATTGTAGCTACTTTGATAATTATATCTAAATAGGATTCAAAGCTTCATCAATTTTAAATATAATAGACAAATTATTAATTTAAATATAATAAATAAATGGTTGACAAATAAAACATTTTGTTCAACTTGTGTATTACCATAAATGACTGAAGAAATCTCAAAGAAGAAAAAAATTGAACCGTATACAAAAGAAGAAGGAGGTACATGGAAAAATATGAAAATATACAATGTGTAGAAGTGTGATATGTACCAGTAAGATAAGAGTTTAATATGTAGGTAGATAAATAATAGGAATAATAATAATAATAATAATAATAAAATCTATAAATAGATAAGAGTTATAGTATATATAGTTTGCTATATTTATGACATCTTAATAGAGTTTTATTTTTATCATTAATATGACATAGTCTATTTCTTTAATGTGTAATATTGTACCTGGAAAGATCGAATTGAAGTTGAAGGTGCGCATTACTCGGCTGAGGTCATCACCTAAGTTCAGAAATCCAAACAAACAAAATCAACAAATGTTATCGAATGATGAAGAAGTACAATCTTTTTACTTTTTTGCAATATAAATATTTTTTAATGAAATTGAAACCTGAAATCGTTATTTAGGTGTCAATCTAACACCATCACTTGCTCCTAGTCCACTCCAAACAAACGATAAATGATTTCGTAAGTTGGAAATTGCTGACTTTTTTACAACTATTTCTGCCACTTTCTTGTTTAAATACTAAAATTCTTTTGTCGGGAGAGTACTTATAACTTGTTTACCAGAACAATATATCCTTAAAACAAATTTCATTTTAACATAAGCATTCTAGAAACGACAACCCTAAGTGTATTATAAATAGCTCCAAAAAGATGAATCTAAAATATATCTTGAACTATTTTGAAATTTCATTCCATGATAATAAATCTCGTTACATCATATAGTTTCGTACGAGTGTTAAATTGCACTTGCGGAATATCTAGAAGAGTGTTAGTTCTCGTAAGAATGGTCTTTTAGAAAAGATAAAATTTTCGTGTGGTGCTACAAAGCTTTCTGGGGGATACAGGACGAAATATACGCAGCGTAGGAGATAAAGGTGTGAAAAACCACCAAAAGTACTTTAATTCTGCAAGGATACTTCTTTGAATGATCGTATGTTGACAACTGTGAAATATACAGCCATATAATAATACTAATTATTATTATATTAGTAAAAGTATTTATCAACTAAGTATATATTTTCCATCCAATTATCAAATTACTATTTTTCTATTTCTTTTTACAACCTAATCTTGTTGGCATACCTCCTTTTCATCCTGGAATGAGAATCCTGAAATGTAATTTTTACATTATGGAACACTCGTTCTGAATCGAAGGGGAAATGCCAAGATTTCTATAGGATAGGAAGTAAGGCCTCGGACCTAATAATTAATTGTTAGCTACTTTTGAAGAAATAATATTTTGGAATCATTAAATGGAGTAGAGAGGTCCCAAATTGGTCCCTAATCATCATGTGGAGCCATCATAGACCTAATAATTATCTAGAACCTACATATATGATCATATTCAATTTCAAAATGTAAAAATTCGTAAAATAAAACATTTTAACTAAAGGGAATGTGATTCATAATAGAAAGATAACTAAGTTCACATAATTTAATGGAATTTACATAAGTATCTCCTCCTTCCTTCCAATCACTCCAGCCTGTTGTGAAAAGACCATGAAAGAAGGAAAATATTTATAAAACCTTGAACAAAGCATGAAAATATCATCCATATTATTCTCAATTATCCTAAATCATAACTGCAACTCCAATTGATATACCGTGAAGCAAATAACCAGTAAAGATTTTATGCTCCATTTTCTTTTACTTGGCTAAAGCTTAAGTTAACAAGGTAATATAATCAACTAGACAAAAGTACAACCTACGGATATAGACAAACTTAAAAGTTAAACAGGTACACATTCTACAAAAGCAAGCACTTTTAAGCAGGTAAAGTGCCACATCTTCAGGTGTACATTTCTTACCCATCATTCATTTAAATATGCAAACTTCTACCAAATGAATGTTAGTGGTGTTTTTTGACAAAGAGTTTGCTTATGTCTTCTGTAACAACGTTTCGCCTGAAAAATATAAAATCAGAAATCCATTATATATAAATAAAAGAAAACACAAAAAGACATTTCATTGATGAGAATTTAAAGAACAGACAAACTAGTAACTCAGCTAGTTCAGCTTTAGCATTGCCTAAAACAAAACAGTAAAGATTAGGACTTGGGAAAGTTAATAAATAATTATCCATTGACATAAGATGCTTCTCGAACAGATAGGAGGAAGCCAGATAGTTGCATAGTTATTCCAAACCGGCTGATCCAACTGTAATGACGTTTTGAAATTTGAACTATGAAATCACATTGTCCTGAACTTTTGCCATTCATATATTAATACTTTATTATGATAAAAATTTAAAATCCAAGTTAGATTTGTCAAATTATTATATAATATGTTTTGACACTTTTAATATAGATCAGGTCAACCAAGCCAAATAGTGTCTCAACCATCCAACCATTGACCTAGTGCCTCGATCTAATCAATGACCATTTATAGGAATCATAGAATTCTATTTGGCAACGTCATTCAATGCCCTTTCTAATCAGTGTTTATCCATAAAAAGAAAAATGAATGAAAAAATATATTAAATACCCTAAGCCCCACAAGCAGAGTGGTTGTTTTTAGGATTTGATCCATGACCCTCTAGGTTCACATAATAGGGATTCCCTTACACCAATGATCAACATAAATTTGTTGTTGGTTGTAGGTGAATCTTTGCTGTCAAATTTGGCCCTAATAACACTATTTATTAGCTCAAAACCTGCTTGGTCACCATAGGTCATACTCATATTTGGGTTCAACTATAATGACACCTTCTCTCCAGTTGCCAAAATAACTTTTGTTGGCTTATTCCTTGTCATGACTGCCCTTATTCGTTGACCCCTTTATCAATTAGATGTCATAAATATCTTCTTTCATGATGATTTGTTGGAGTCGCCTCCGCAAATCTTTATATGGTTTCAAGCAATCTTTGAAGACATGATTTGGTAGATTTCGTGCAATGGTCCAACAATTTGACGTGACTCACATATTATTCGGTTTTTTATCATCACACAAATAATGGGTGTAACTATTTGGTAGTATATATTGATGACATTGATCTTATAGGTAGTGATCATCATGACATCTTACAAATAAAACATCTTTACCATCATTTTCAAATAAAAGACCTTGGTAAACTGAGATATATTTTGGGGATTGAGACAACACAATCCAATAATGAAATTGTTATTTCTCAAATAAAGTATCAATTGAGTATTTTAGAAAAAATTGGATTAATGAATTCAAAGCCTATTGATTCACCCATGGATCCAAATACAAAATTTCTACCCATAGAAGAGGAGTCACTTCCTAATCTTGAGAAATACAAAACTTCTCCTTGTAGAGGAGGAGCCACTTCCTGATCTTAAGAAATATAAAAGGCTTGTTGAAAAATTGAACTATCTTACTAGTATTCGTCTTGACATATCCTTTGCGGTTAGTATGGTAAATTAATTTCTTAATTCTTCATATATAGGACATTGTGCATTCATTCATATTTTGAAGTATATCAAAGATAATCCAAGAAAAGATTTGATATATGATCATAACAATCAAACTCGAGTTATGGATTATTCTAATGTGGACTGGTCATACTCTTTTTTTTTATAGGAGATCCACCTTTGGATATTACATCTTCATTGATGACAATTTGATCTCTTGGAAAAGTAAAAAACAAAATGTAATGACAAGATATAATGTAGAATCGGAGTATAAGGCTATGGTCTCTATTATCGGTGAGCCTATTTAGCTCAAATAGTTGCTTAAAGAGCTGAGATTTGGGGAGGTCACACAAATGCTCTTATTTGTGATAATCAAATTGCCTAAATATTGCCTCAAATCCTATATTTCATGAAAGAACCAACTATATTGAGATAGATTGTCACTCCATCTGTAAGGAAACTGTATCTGGAGACATTATCACTCAATTTGTCGATTTCAATGATTAATTGGTATGATGTTTTCACACAATTATTACGAGATCCTATAGTTGATTATATTTGTAACAAATTTGGTACTTATTATTTATATGCACCAGTTTGAAGAATAGTGTTAGAAATAGCTGAATATATGGGTCTAAGCTCATATCTTTTTGTATCATGATATCCATATAATATATATTTGTTCCTCTGTTGTGTATAATTCATTCAGGGATCTATTCATATGTCTCTCTACCATATACTTTAACAATAAGTGTAGTGTAGTTAGTCAAGATGGGGTTGAGCTCCTAAAGCCATCACTAGTGGGTAAAACAAGAAGATCCAACTCAAAGGATTGACCTTGGATGGTCAATGGGATTGTAAGTTAGATGTGGAGGCAGTCAATCACAACCTACCATAGCCTAAATATGTAGCAACTCGGTCTTGCACAAAATTATGTGTTCTCCCTCTATATACCAATATGGTGACTTGATGTTGGGCTATGTGCCCACCAAACATAATGCTTCATTAGTGGAATGTCCTGGAAGGGCATTGAAGCTAATTTGGGCCTAAGAAGTATTTGGCTCACCCAAATGAGCTATGACAGTGCCTAAAGGAGAACCGTCATCAAAGGAAGGGGCACCAACTACTGCACAAGTCTGAGTAGATCGACTGCACAAAGGGGGTAGAGATTCCAACTGCAAAAAGTTGCTGGAGCAGTGGCAGCAGCGTGGCTGAGAGGGAAGGGAAGGGAAAACTTTTAACTTTAATATTAAGAGTGTTATATAACATTTACAAAAAGTAATAAAAGATTAGGACATTAAATTTATGCTAATCTACCATTTTATTTCACCTTGAAAAATTATTATTAGATAGTGTTTATTAGAAATGAAAAAGGTTGTCCTCTCTTCCCTTTCCGTCCAAAACCAAACTCCCACAATAACCCATAGAATTTCTTTTATACAAGGTGATCAGGTTGAGTAAAAATGATTTTCACAAGCATAGTTAAGAAGCCAAGATTGTTGTTACTTGACTTAATTCTACTCAAATGATTCCCTAGAAGCTCACTTACGGATAAGACCCTTCTTCTTTCTTGCCATTGCCTCTTTTACTTGCGGGGATGGCTTCCTAACCCAATTTTTTGAGAATTCCAACTACGGATAGGAATAGGCCAAGATGCTTGTCAAGGGTTTTCATTAGACCAAGAGCCAGGCCTATTTACCACATAAGTTAGGCCAAATGATTCACAAAGACTAGACTTTAGGCTATTCAAAGCAAATAATAATAATAATAATAATTAATATAAGAACATCGTTAACTTATTGTATTCAATTTATAAAATAATATTTTCAAATTACATTGGTATATTTAACTTAAAACTAACCTGATCCAACCCACCCATAAGTTTACACCTATTAAGCATGTTCAGAAGTAAGGTTCTAAGCTAAAATCTGTTAATTGTATCAACAAACTAAAATAACGAGTATACAAAACAATAAAAGAGTGAAAATGATGGTATTGAATTGATGAAAACAATATCTAAATTATAAACAGACAGCAGGCACAGATCATTCGAAATTCAATCTAAGTGTATAACTTGTGAAATTCACCTCACGTGACCCCATGCATCAAGTCAAGATCTACTAATCATGGAGATAAAATTTTAAAACAAACAAACTCTAACTTCTAAAAATAAGTAGCAACAAATGCACAAATAAGTCAACAAGCAGACAGCTATCTGTCAACACATGACTACAAACCTTCCACTGATCTGTGGTGGTAGTAGCATACCAGCAGAAGTTTCTGGAACATTCCTTGAATGAGGCAAGTTTCCTCTGGGAACTTTACTACGTACACTGGAGGAAGACATTCCATTTGAGTCTCTCTTCCGTGAAGCATTTTCAGCTTGAGCTGCAGAAACTCGAGAGAAATGGTCACTAGCACTCATCAGATTAGATAAGACAGTGGGCGCATCCAACAGAAGAGAAGCATCAGGAAGTTTCTCCACTGAAGGCAGAGATGAATGTGATTTATTTTCTAGCTGCTGGTTTGACGAAGATCCAGATTTAGTCCTATAAATTAAATAAACATACATATTGAGACTATAGAACAATGTTGATCAAGAAAGGTGAAATGATATAATAGTTTATGTTGGTTTAGACTCCAAAATCCAACTCGTGTGCTCAGTGCACACACATGTATAAAACATGCCTTTATCTCCAGGTCCTTTCTTTCCTTTTGTATTTTTCAGGAAAGCAGAGTTTTTATGGGATCTAGCTCAATGGTGCAGTTATGATGACTCTTTATGGTTGACATGTATCCTACACAAAAATCATGAAAAGAATATACACTCCCTTTTATTTTTTCACAAAAAAATGAAATTATAATTAGAAGAGATACATGGGTAAGATCTAAGAATAAGAAATGAAAATACAAATTAAAAAAAAAAAAAAGAATTCTAAGAAAATCATATCCATCTCAGGAACAAGTAACCATTCAGTGGTTAAAGATTTTTAGAAGAGGTTAATGAGCAATTACTTATTGACTTAATTATCACTTAAATGGTTATATTATATGTTTCTAGATTTGGGACGCCTTTTAACAAAATTTCCCTTTCTGTAGCTTCCCATAATACAAAATTGGCACAAAAGATTTGGACAAAAAGGTAAAATAAAAATGAAGTTATATGAGCACAAAAGGGCTCTGTGCTCTCTCTGAGTATCCATCAAAGATAGACCCTTGAAGAATCCATAGCAGGAAAGCAGCCCCACCCACCTTAGCTGAAATTTGGATTGTATCTGAAAAAGTTAGTATAACCAATTAGCTTATACTCAGATACAGAACGTTTACTTTCAGTCTTTGGGTAGCTCTAAGAAAAGATAACAAAACATCTTCTAGGCTAGCCTGGAATACTGTTCTCACCAATAAACGGTTCCAATTGAGTTAAACTTAGAATCAGGATCGGGAAAGGGTAAGAGAGAAGATTGTTCAAAAGACAAAATATAATTGAAGGATATAATGTTACAATACCTTAACCCAATACTCTTATTTGTTCTATAATTACCTATAGTACTAGTACAAGCCCAACCACTTAAGTAGTTGATGAAACAAATCAAGAAAGATATCCTAACGTTTTTGGTGGGTATTGTTCGTCATCTACATTTTTCCAGCAGGTAATGTTTGTCATCTACACTTTTTCTGCAGGTTTTGTTCTTGGTGATATTTATTCGATTGGTATTTTTCAATGTTTTTCTGGCAGGTACTGTTTGTCGTTGACGTTTTGCTGAAGGCATTGACCTTTTCCAGAAGGTGTTGTTCACCAGCGATGTATTTTTGACGTGTACTATTTTCACCATCAATGTTTTTCCGATGTGTCCTCCGACATCTCTTACAAGCTAGATTTGATACATATGCTCCAATTTGAAAAAAGTGCATCAAAGTTATCATTTGTCATCATTTACTCTATCAGTTCCAACGACCAACTCGCTGATATGATTCTATCAAGGGGTCTTGTGTTAATGACATTTCCAATAATCTTGCCTCATGTGATATATATGCTCCAACTTAAGGTGTGGTGTTGGATATAGAGATATGATAAGATTTAATGGGGAAAAATCTTATCAAATATTTCTCATTATTATATAGTGATTTTGTCCTAGTTATAGTATCCTCTTCCATTATAAATAAGAATACTAATGTGTGTCTTTAACACATGGAATTTATCATATGCCTTCTCAATTTTTCTCCTCTCAACATTAGCTTATGCATAAGTTAATGCATAGAAACTCTCATATAGCTTCTCCAAATTCTTATCATTAAATCTTTTTATAGAAGGGTCATATGATTGGATGGGCCAAAAGAGATCCAAAAGAAGGAAAATTAGGTGGCTTAAGGATTTTATAGGGTGGTCTTAGAACTATAAAAATAATATTTATAAAATTATTTAGTTGATGATTTTATTCGCTATGTTAGATGATGACACTTGTAGGGTCATCATTTAGTTGTTGATATCTCTTAGTAAGCTTCCTATCATTATCAGCCATGTGTTTCAACCCCACCTATTTCCTAATTGTGGTTCTATTAGGGAAATTTCAGCAAGCATCACTCTTCACCGTGTATTCTGCTAAAAGCTGGATTAAACCAGAAAGTTAAAGATAAACAATCGGCAATATATGCCAAGTTCCAACATAAGTTAGCAGGTGTAGGAAACCACACAATTTCTTCTCCTGGGCTGTGTTAAACCCAACTAACAACTATGCTTTTCACTTTTCCCATATAACAATTCCGAATTCTCTCATCTCACCATGTATATGATTTAAGCTAACCACTAAACCAATTCCACGTCTAACTATGTTATTCCATAACCATTTCATCCACTATGCGTTATAATCCTTCTACTCTTCTGTGTGGATCCTCCCACTGTGACACTATTGCTCACAACTGTCCTTATGCTTTCAAGCAATCCACATCACTCTGATGGTCGTAGTCCCCTCTTTGTATATCATTGTCCATGTATAAAGTACAAGTGATACAAGAATTAATAAAAGCCCAAACATTAACCTAAAAATTTCAACCACAACATTAAAAATGCGAATGAATACAGAAAAGTTATCGCTATATATTAAAAGCTGAACTGAATAAAAACTAAGAATACACGAAGGAATTAGAATAACTTCGGTGATGCAAATAAAAAGGAAATTACTGAGAACGAGGGGGTGGTTGGGGTTCCTCCTCTTTCTTGCATCCTTGTTCAGTGGGTTCCGGAACATCTTCGTCTGAAGAGGAAGCGTAATCGACAAGCGACATTTGTTCGATTTCTCTCTCCGTCGTCGCCGGCGTTCTAGTTGCAGTGGTGTGGCTCTCAGCCGTAGGTGACAAGTTTTGTTTCTTAGCGGTATGACACAGTGGGCGAGCGTAATCTTATATTTTTCTCTTTCTTAAAATTGATGTCAGCAAATTATAATACCTGACAATTTTATTCAAAAAGACAATTGTATTTATATAATAAAATAACATATTGATTTCTAATTAAGTTCATCAAAAAGACAATTGTATTTTGCTTATAATTTATCAATAAAAAATTATCATTTTGATTTTTATATTTTTATTTATAAATATTTTTACATTTATTAAATGATGAGTTGTTGATTAAATATATATATATATATATATATATATATACTATTTTTTAATTCGCAATAAATTTACATATTTTTAATAAAAATTCATCTTATTTATTTATTAAATTCAATAATAAAATACAATAATATGTTAGGAAACATATTTTTGTCAAGATTTATCATTTCTAAATTATGTTGAATTCTTTTTTATATGAAAATGAAGTTGTTAATTTCTATATTTTTTGTCATTAAATTGTAACGATTTATTTTAATGACAATTATTATATTGATACAAATACTAAAATATTTGAAAAATTTTATTAAAACAGTTTCAAATTGTAATTCTGTTAGCAATTATGAGAAAATATGCAATTTTTATAATAAAAATGATTTTTGATAGAGAGAATACTTGTTGTGACAGTACAACAACTTGAGACAATAATGATAATTTTTATATTATATAAAAGACTAAAATAATTGGGAAAAATTATGTGTTAACTATTAAGAAAGACTAAAATTCTACTTCACATAAAATAAGAAATCTAACAAAAAAAATTATTTATTAATCTAACATTTAAAGTTTTATAATAAAAAGTTAAAAAAAAAAATATACATGAACGTGTCACATATTAAAAGCCATTTTTGGTACATGCCAATTTATTTATTAAATCGTAACTGTTTATTTTAATCACAATTATTATTTTAATATAGAAAGATTAAAATAATTAAAAAAATCCCATGTATAAACTATTAAGAAAAATTAGAATTAAAATTTTACTATCATAAATAATTTATATCTGTAGTTATATCTAAATAGAAATCTTTTTAATTTTTTTATCTTAAAATAAAAATAATTATTATAATTTATATATTTAAAAAATAATATAAAATATAAAAAATAAGAAAAAAAATAAAATTTAAAATAAAATTAATTATAAAAAAACATGGATACATACCACCTGTATTTCCCCTAATTTAATATTATAAAACATAGAAAAGTAAAGATGCATAAAATTTCTAGTTCGAAAAGAGGACATAATTATAATAATTGTTTCACTAATAATAAAAAAATTATTTTATATTGACTTTATTATTCTTGATGCTTTAAAAAACAAAAACAACAAAACAATGTGTCATTCAAGTCAAATCTTTACATAAATTAATCATGAGTAAAATAAATAAATATTTTGCATATAATATATAGGGTAAAAAGGGTATCAAACTAAACTTGACATAGTAACATGACATTGAGATTTTTAATGAGTAGAAAAGATTTCCCATATACTCCTATTTTATAAAATGAATTAATGAATGCAACTAGCCAAACAAATTGTCTTTCTCAATTATCTCCAGATACATTAACCAGCCATCCATCCATTTGAGTTTAAAAATAACCCCATTAATTTTATTATAAGTTCAAAATATAATTACATATATTTATATGAATTTCAATTATATTATAATTATTATATAATAAATACACGGATCAAAATACTAGATTGTTTACATGCAACATGCTTCATTGATTTGCCAACCAGCAATGTTATCAATACAAATCTTCCAATCAACTAATATCTGTCAAGACAAAGTTGGAGACAGATTGACTCTAGACGAGTTGAGAGAATGCCGTGATAATAGACTAATTCACATTCTAAAAAGATTTCTTTCAAAAATTGGTAAATAGAGAACACAACTACTTAAGAACAATTGCTGCATTCCTTAGAGCCAGGTATCTTTGAACATACTCATTAGGAAGCGATCTGATGATTTTGAAAACTTCAGTATTTGCATATCGAAGATTAGTTCTAGGATCATGGTAAGGAGCCTGTAACACCCCAGACAAGTGATTAGATAACGGCATGCCATAATCACATCACCATCAAAATTTATTATTAATCAGAGGTAAAAGCACATTTCAGACCAACAAATATGCATAAATTCTTGTTTTAGCATGCATCTAGTTCAATTAACAAGCTGCTGAAAGAATACTAAAGCTTCAATCTCGGATTATTATGGGGACAAAAGAATGGGAATTATTAAGCGGAGATAAACTACGTAGAATACAAGTACTTCACACTATCCGTCTGTTTCCAACAAAAAAAAAAATCTTAAATTTTGATGCGTACCAACTAAGAAACAAAAATTGAACCTTAAACAAACTTGAACTTTTAAATTAGGCGAAGCTGAAAACGTTCAACTTCCAAATTCTACAAGGAATCAAATCTTAGCTTCTCTGTACTTCAAATTAAAATATGCCTTAATCAAGTACGCATTAATCTTAGAAACATAAAGCTCGGATCCTAAGAAAATAAACACAACGCAATAGCATAAACAAAAACAAGGCAAGTTGCATAACCCAACCTAGAAGCCCAGCTGCAACATACACAATCAGATGGGCAATGCTGGTGTTAGAATCCAATAGCAACTTGGAAGTACGGGATTCTAGTGAGGGAACTATTTTCTTTTGTGATATGTTGCTCCTCAAAATTGGTATCAAAGCCCTCAGCCATGTTTCTTGACGGCAAACAAGTGTGAAGGGTAATGTTGCCACTTTTGCATTGGGCCAACATGTGTCTCATGGGCCTAAGAATTGGAAAGTTTATACTAGGAAGAAGGTGATGTCGTGAATGGCTGAGCTGCCAGAGAGAGAATTAAGAGATAAATTTGCTATGTGAGTGTGTAGTTATTAGAGCATAGGAGCAGAGAAGTGGAGTATTTAAGTGCTAGATTCAACCCCATCAATAGCTAGCTTTAGAGGATGGGTTTCCAATTGATTGGGTACTTATCAATTGGTATAAAGGTGGTTGTCGGGTGTCTAGGAAAAGGCTTCCTACCAAGGGTTCTTGACCAACAAGGAGTAAAGTGAAGTGTCACCAAGTAAAGTTTCATTGAGTGAAAGCCACCGACATGGTGCTATGATTGAAACTTGGGTATTATGGGGTAAAAAGTGTTCGGTTCTCCGCCTTAATAGCTAGCTTTTGAGGGTGGGTTCCCCTTGTCATTGGGTACTGATCAATCACCTTGGTAAGAATTATGCATAGTAGTTATGGAAAAGCTAATTACATTTTTTTCTCTTCTAGCAATCTTCCAAAAATGATTACCTAAACAGACCCTAGGAGACTTGAGCACTTTGATTTCCTATCCTACATGGGAGTGAGTTGTTGTCTGAAGTCCACAGTGATGTTGCCTTGCAGAATGTTGTAGACACCAAAGCTCATGAAGGGGTGGTGTTCTATACAACAATGACAGGTTGGCCATTTCTGCACCTTCCCCTCAGTTGTTGGGTGAATTCCATACACACTCCAAGAGAAACATTCAGGATTTTACAGAACTTAAGGAGAATGGCTACAAATTTGTATTCGGAAGGAATGAAAAAGATGGTTCAGAATTCTTCCATGGAATGTGATATCTGCCAAAGACTGAAATACCTGGCAGCATCGCCAGGTGGTCCGTTGCATGTATATAAGACATTATTTGGGAGGAAGCATTGACGGACAATTTGTAATATAATACAATTTTCCCTTTTCCTTAATTCGGTTCCTATTAATTAGAGAATGGAGGCAGAGTAGTGGAATCGTCTTGGTGAGAATTAGGCATTTTGTTATGGGCAGGGGGCAGCAGCTCTCTATAGGAACCTAGCTCTGAGGCACTAGAAGGGTTTGACCAATATAACTGTTGTTTAGTGTGTTCATTTCATTGAGTGATTAATGTGTTATTGCCTATATTGTTTCTGGTTTGCTTATGATTGGCAATTTCTCTCCAATCCCACAATGTTGCAATCATAGGTGTAATCTAGCATGTGAATGGAGACTGGAGAGGGTGAAAAACCCCACGGAATGGAGCAACCCTATGTGTGTTAGCAATTTGACAGCATTTTACAAGTGACAAGAAATAGATAAAACATTAAATATTTTCAAAAGTTCTGTAGCGGCAGTTGAGAATCTACAAAAAAGTACTGAACAAACTACTGAATACAAGAAGCACTGTCATTTAAAACCAAAACTCTTACTCTTAGAGTAAAAATTTTATTCCAAACAAAATAATAAATTGTCTTACTGGTAATAGTCAGATCATAGAATTGTAATCCAACACGAATCATAAAGATCACAACATACCTCATAGCCCGTAATATCGCAAATTCTCTTGCAGGGATGCATAGACGGAGGCGACTCAATATTGACATCTGCATGACAATCCAAATTAAAAATGTATAGCTAAAATTCATTGGCAAGGATGGCACTCATAACATGCAAACAAACATACAAATAACCAAAATTGAAATACAGGATGTAGCCTCTGAAAAAACAAGAACTAAGCTGAAAGAGATTTAGGTAAACTGAAAAAGAATTTGCATTACTACATCTGATAAAGTACAAGTACGTATGTTTACTATATATAGACTCAGTAGCTTGCACAGTGTAGAAAATAGAGAAAGAGAAAATTATAATAAACTGAACTGTTATTTTTCTACTCTGTTTGATCAAATTACAAACAGAATATTATAGGATGAAACTAACTCAATAGCTGTCATAACTAACTGAGTTAGTACTAAGCTACTGCAAGTCTATTATACTAACAGTCGATACAGTATATTCCACATCACACAGCTGACTAGACTACAGCTCAGTATAATTGACTAACAGAATATCTTGCACAACAAGCTATTCGGACTACACTACAGCTCATCCAGCTAACTGACAGCTCAGAATAACTGACTGCGGTCATTTACAACAGATACTTAAGTGATTACAACTGTAAACTATTTGATATGCAATTATTGTTCCCTTTTCATATTTAAAAAAAAAAAATCCTAAGTACAGACAATGGGATTGAATACTCACAATTGGGTTCATCAGGGGGGTAGTTCTGATAATTCTCAGCTTGAATTATCTGCTTCAGATGTTTCCAGTGCCTGCCTCTGGCTTGGCCTTTCGGATATTTCTCGTACATTTGAACTCTTTTAAAACTGAGATAGCTTGGCAACACAAGCTCTGCCTCCACCACTTCTGCCTCCATATTTTACCCTTCTTTAACATAGTAGAAAAAAACTCTTTTCAATAACTGCTAGAATAACATAGCATCAAATAAACCTAAAATCACAAGGTGCTAAAAGAAAAGCACCATAGACGTCAAGGGAAGTTTGAACTGGTGTGAAAAAACAAACCAAAATAAACTGCTAAAATAGTTTGGATTTGAAAAATAGTTTAGATTTGGTGAAGAAGTTCAGTTAAGATTCTGAACTAGCTTATGTTCAGAACAAGTTATAGATCAGATTAAAAATCAAAACCAGTTTACAACCTGGAAAAACTGGTTTTTTCAAGTGAAAACATATGGTAAACTAGCAACAAGATTATTTCACCCCAGTTTGGTATCGTGACGAGTTTCAAGTTTTAAAATATAATATTTAAAAATAAAACCTGTACGAGTAAAATAGAGCTGAGTTGGGTATTTTACTTAATTTTAAAACAATAAGAAAAAAGAAAAATCTGTCCGGTTTTTTATTTTATTTTTACAGTTTCCTCTTTTATGTCCAAATCTCCTAATTCCTTCTCCAAACCCTAATTCCAATCCCTCTTTGATCCGAGGGCACTCACAGCCTCGTGAACTCAGATGTCAGCACCTTTATGATTTTTTACCTTTGTATTTGAAATTCCAGGGGACTCACCATTTGATTCGGCACTCACAGGTGTGTGTTAAACAGTACGGATTTGGGGCACATTGTGGTGCTGTCTAGAATACGAATGGGTCTGGAGAAGGAACCAAAGAACCATACCAAACCGATTCGGTGACAACTGAGCAGGATATTGGTATGGCTCTGAGCGAACTGAACTGAAGATTTGCATCAACATTTTGAAAAATGAAAACCAAAAAAAGTTGGAAGTGAAAACTCAACTAAAACTGGGTTCGGTTTTCAAATTTTCAAATAATAAGCCGAAACCATCTTGAACAGTGGCTTAGTCATACATGTGCAAAGGGGTTCTCGTAGAGTTATCCCTAATAAATGTAATGCTATTAAACAAAATTCTCTTCAACTAGAAGACCATTTTAATAAAGTTAATAAGGTTATCAATAGCGGATGGTGGCCAACGGTGGTAAGCCAAAAAAACCGCCATCTACATGGGGAACAAATTAAATACGTGAGTGTGTGATTTTTTTGGGGGGCTTGAGATTGTCCTGGAAACAGCATTATAAGATTAATAAAAAACAAATATAACAACATTTATGAAATTAAAAACTAAACCAGAGAACTAAATTCTGAAATCTTGAAAATGCAAAGCACAAAACCATAAAAGGAAAAACCTGTTATGGGTGACCGGATATGTTCCCCGGAAAAGGTTGCCGGAGCAAAGGCGGTTGCTGCAGCTCAGGTGGCAGGCAAGGGTGGCCCAACGGAGTTGCTCAGCCACCGCTTAGAAGGTTCGGAAGAGAGAAGAGATGTGAAACCCTAGCTTTCACGCTTTCACACGGAAAGAGAAAATACGTGTAATGAAATCATAGTTGGTAACGGAGGATACGGAGCCGACGACCACCCAAAACGGTACTGCGGGATGACTGTTACTCTAATAATATTATTAATTATTAAATTTTTAAGATTTAATTTTATTATTATTTTTAATATATTTTTTATCTTATTTTATTTCAAAAAATTAATATATATTTTCTTCGTTATCATCGTTAAATTAATTAATAAAAAATATAATATAATACTTAAACATGATATATGTCATGTTTGTTAAATAATTTAATATTGTTCATTGAATTAATAATATTGATTTTTAACTAAATAAAATTAAATTAAAGACAAATAATATAAGAGTGAAAATAAATCATTAAACCAAATAAAATAAAAACAATAGTTTTGTGAAAAAAATTATTAAAAGATTATAATTAAAAGTAAAATGCAAAAATTAGTATTTATATATAACATATTGAAATTTAGTCTTTAATATATATTACATCTAATTTAAATAACCGCATATATTAAAAGATTTTGATTTAAACACATTATAGAAATCATTTATTTAAAAAATTGCAAATTTAACTCTAAATACAATTCAACCTCCCTTATATATAATTGTGATATATGTAATACACATTTTAAAATATTATGTCATAAATCCACGTTCTTTTTTTAAAATGAATAATTCATATATTTTTAATTTATATCAAATCTCACACTAATTAAGAATGTTAGTATCAATTAACTTTATTTAATGTTCTTGATTTTTTAAAATAAATAAGTGCAATTTCTAAATTACTTAAGTCATATTTATTGGAACAAGAGTCAAAGTTTAAACATAAGGATATTGTTAAAATAATAATATTAAATAAAACTTAAATAATTAAAATTTGTTTATAATTTAAGGCCACTAAATATGATGAGATGCATCGTTGTCTTGGTATTTCAGATCACATTGTTCCGATGCACTTTCACTCACCCTTAATCCTGTTGGAGAGCATAGAAGAATTAAGAAATACTGTATGCACGTGTTTGTGTATATTTGCGTAAGTGTTATATGAAAAGGTATCAAATCCAACTAAGAGAGATAACTCTTATATACAGATTTAACTACCAAAAATAGAACTGTAACGACTATAAACAGAAACTGAATTATAACAGAATAAAACATTCCTCCTTAATTCAATTTCTCAAACTAATAACATCTAGTTCAGCCCTTAACATTTCAAACCTCTCCTTCTTCAAAGATTTGGTAAAAATGTCAGCCACTTGATGTTGAGTAGGACAGTAAACCACCTTCAATATCCCTTTATTCACTTGCTCCCTCAAAAAATGAAACCTAGTCTCAATGTGCTTACTCCTTCCATGAGACACAGGATTATTTGCCAAATTTATGACTGATTTATTATCAACATACAGCTGAATAGGCCTTTCAATCTGTACCCTTATTTCTGTCATGAGTGAATCAGGCCAAATTGCTTGGCATGCAGCATTTGAACCTGTTATATACTCTGCTTCACATGTGGATAAAGCAACATCAGGTTGCTTCTTGCTACACCAAGAAATTGGCGCATCACCACACCAATCTGCATCAGAAAAACCCAGTAGTTTGCCCTGATCTGACTTAGGAAATAGAATTCCAAAATCAATAGTCCCTTTAATGTACCGCAGTACCCGTTTTGCAGCTAGCACATGCTTCTTCCTTGGCTGATGCATAAATCTGCTCAAAACTCCAATAGAAAATGCAATATCAGGTCTACTATTACACAAATACCTAAGTGAACCAACAATTTGCTTGTAGAGTATGTTGTCAGCCTCTTCTTCATCACCTTCAATCACTGGAACCTTTGTCTCAGCTGGTATTACAGCTGGATTGCAATTCTCCATGCAAAATTTCCTCAAAATTTATGTTGCATATCTTTTCTGATATAAGATTACTCCTTTACTAACTTCAACAAACTTCATTCCAAGGAAGTATTTTAATCTTCCAAGATTAGTCATCTCAAATTCAGCCATCAATAACTCCTTGAATCTACTTATTTCAGCTTGATTGCTACCCGTAAGAAGCAAATCATCAACGTATATGCACATTATCAGCATATTGGCTTCATCCAGAATTTTAACATAGACTCCATGCTCCACTGGACATTTTACAAGCTGATGCTTCATCATAAACGCATCCATCAACTTGTTCCAGGCCCTTGGTGCCTGTTTCAACCCATATAAAGCCTTCTTTAATCTGAAAACTTTATTTTCACTCCCTTTAACCGGAAATCTAGGAGGTTGAGTGAAATATACTTCCTCTTCAAGTGGACCATTGAGAAAAGCCGATTTCACATCAAGTTGAAACAAAGGTCAACCTTTTCCAGTTGCCAAAGCTACCACCAACCTTATAGTTTCAATTCTAGCTACAGGAGCAAAAGCTTCCGTGTAGTCTAGACCTTCTTTCTGCAGGAATCCTCGTGCAACAAGTCTTGCTTTCCTTTTATCAATATCTCCATTTGGATGTAATTTCAACTTGAAAACCCATTTTACATCAATGGGTTTCTTGTTCAGAGGCAATTCTGTCAATGTCTAGGTTTCACTCTTCTCAATTGAATGCAATTCTTCCATCATTGCAGCCTTCCACACCTCATGCTTCATAGCTTCTTCATAATCAATAGGTTATGCTTCTGCCAGTAATGCGAAATGAACCAAATCTCCTTCATTATTTATAGCATTATCGAGATAAACTTCAAAGTCAATCAATGCTCTTGACATGGTTCTCTTCCTTGGTTCTCTTTGTACTTCTTGTTGTGTGAGCCTTGTTTCATCGACCTGATTGCTCTCTAACTCTTTACTTTCATCTCCAATTATTATTGAAACAATCTGACTTCCAGCCATATCTGTTGCTTCCTTCCAGTTCCATGACTCATCTTCACTTATCACAACATCTCTACTGATACAAACTTCATTAGTTGCAGGATTGTAGAGTCTATATGCGTCTGTAGGATGATATCCTACCATTATCATTGCAGTACTTTTATCTCCCAGCTTCTTCCTCCTAGCATCTGGAGTATGTTTGTAACTCACAGAACCAAAAATTTTCAGATTACTCACCACTGGTTTTCTACCAGACCAGATTTCTTCCGGGACCTTATCTCCAAGCTTCTTGGTAGGACACTTGTTTAAAATATGCACAGCAGTAGACACTGCTTCTCCCCAGAGAGAATGAGGCAAGTTTTTCTGTTTCAGTATACTCCTAGCCATATCATGAATGGTCCTGTTTCTCCTTTCAGCCAACCCATTATGTTGTGGGGTATAGGGTGTTGTCGTCTCATGTTGGATTCCCAGCCCAATACAATATTCTTTAAACTCTTTGGACACATACTCACCTCCTCCATCAGTTCTCAAGATTTTCAACTCTTTTCCACACTGTCTTTCTGCCATAGCTTTGAAACGTTTGAAGACTGTCAGCACGTCACTTTTGGCTTTGATAAGATATAGCCAAATCATCCTACTGAATTCATCAACAAATGTTACAAAATATCTATTCTTTCCAAGTGATAGCTCTTCAAATGGACCACATACGTCTGAATATACAACATGTAGCACACTCTTGGCTCTCATATGCATATGCAAATCAAAAACATTTCTGGACTGTTTTCCAACTAAGCATTCTTCACACAATTTTCTTGGCACAATAATTTCAGGCAGACCAATCACCATATTTTTATCAGCTAATTTCTTGAGACTATGGAAATTCAAATGTCCAAACCTTTGATGCCATAACCAGCTCCACTTATCAATAACTGTGGCTGCTAGACAGTGTTGTTCAACAGGATCTAGCCTTGTTTGAAATGTCCTATTCTTGGACAATGGTGATTGCAACACCAATTTCTTCCTTGCATCATAAACTCTCAACATTTCTCCCTGCATTATGACAGTGAAACCCTTCTCAACTAGTTGTCCAACACTTAACAAGTTACATTTTGTCGAAAGTTCCACATCACCTACCTCATATCATTTGGTATGGTTTAAATACAAGTTAGGCTACTCCATATATAGTCAATTGGTTTTATGTTGGAACCTTAACATGGTATCAGAGTCAAAGCCTAACATCTTTCCGGTTATTATCATGGGCCAAAAGTTGCCCTTTAGTTGGGTCAAAAGTACCATTTGCCTGGTTCGGCAGGCTTCGTTGGAGGGAGTGTGTTGAAAGTCTCACATCGCCTACCTCATATCATTTGGTATGGTTTAAATACAAGTTAGGTTACTCCACATATAGCCAATTGGTTTTATGTTGGAACCTTAACATTTTTTTTTTTTTTTGCTAGGATCCCTTGATTTATGGGATTGTTCCTAATTATTCAAATCTGTACAGATTACAAGGAAATATACAAATTTCCTGATTTATTCTTTCCTAAAATACTATTTGATTTCCCACACTCCCCCTCAAGCTGGTGAATAGATGTTTTCCATTCCCAGCTTGGATACAATATTCTCAAAATTATGGCAGCCCAATCCCTTGGTAAGAATGTCGGCAATTTGGTCTTGAGAGGACACATATGGAGTGCATATCAAGCCACTATCAAGCTTTTCTTTGATGAAGTGTCTGTCTTCTTCAATATGCTTTGTTCTATCATGCTGCACTGGGTTGTGGGCTATACTGATTGCTGACTTATTATCACAATAGAGCTTCATAGGTTCTTCCCAATTTATCCTCAAGTCTTCTAAGATGATTTTAAGCCATAGCAACTCACATAACATAAACTTGTCCTCCTTTCCTTGAAGAGCCTCCTTTGTGTCCCCCTTCTCGATCTCGGTTTAAAGGCTTCCCATGTAACTTCCAACACTTCTCTCGGGTATGACGAGGTTTATTGCAGTAGGTACACCAGAGACCATCACATTTCTTCTCCACATTTGCTGATCCTCCTTTCTTCTGTTCGGTTACCATGGCCAAAGTTTGATCTCCTTTATGGTCCAATGCTGAGTTCTCTACTGCTGGACTCTCTAACATGAGACCCCTTCTACTTTCTTCACTTCTCACAATAGCCATGTTTATGTGGTTCTATCATGCTGCACTGGGTTGTGGGCTATACTGATTGGTTTGTATCATTTTCCCCTTCTGCAGAACTCACCTTGTCCTCAAGGTGAAAATCAGGATAACAAGTGCGGAAATTTTCCAAGTCTTCCCAGGAAGCTTCATCAACTGGACAGCCCTCCCAATGCACCAAGAGTTGTTCCTGTGGTTGCCCGTGAACTAACTGAGTTCGCCAATCTAAAATTGCCCTTGGTTGATCAATAGGTTGGTTATCAAAGTTTTCCAAGGGTAAGTCACATGCAGACATCTTATTAGTACCACGAAAAGGTTTAAGAGCCGACACATGAAAAACCGGGTGAATGCGACTACTAAGAGGAAGTTGGAGTTTGTATGCCACTGTCCCAATGCGCTCGATGATGCTATAAGGACCATAGAACCTCTTCGAGAGCTTGTGGTGTTTCAATTGACGGATTGATGTTTGGCGATACGGTCTGAGGCGTACGAGAACCAAATCACCAACAGCGAGAGTAATGTCTCGACGATGTGCATTGGCCTTCTGACGCATTCTATGTTGAGCAGCAGTTAAATTTGTCTTCAAAGTGCGGAGTAATTCGTCACGAGAAGTTAGGGCCTCATCCAATACTTGTATAAAAGTGGATCCCCTAGTATATGCCGGAATGGTGGGTGGTCTTCGACCATAAAGAGCCTCGAAAGGGGACATTTGCAAGGCACTATGGTAGCTGGTGTTATAATGAAATTCGGCCCACGGGAGAAATGCAACCCATGAAGACGGTTTATGTTGAGTGAAGGCACGAAGATATTGTTCCAACCCACGGTTAACTACCTCGGTTTGACCGTCAGTTTGAGGGTAATAGGCACTGCTCATAGCAAGCTTGGTGCCACTAAGTTCAAACAGCTTGCGCCAAAAAGCGCTAATGAAGACCGGATCACGATCAGACACAATGGAACGAGGGTACCCATGGTGACGCACAACCAAAGACACAAACAACTCTGCTACTTTGGAAGCGGTAAATGACGTGGGAAGAGCACCAAAGTGAGCTGTTTTCGATAATCGATCCACAACAACAAGGATAACCGTGGAGTAACTAAAGGCTTCGTTGGAGGGGGTGTGTTGAAAGTTCCACATCGCCTACCTCATATCATTTGGTATGGTTTAAATACAAGTTAGGCTACTCCACATATAGCCAATTGGTTTTATGTTGGAACCTTAACATTTTTTTATTTTTTTATTTTTTTTGCTAGGATCCCTTGATTTATGGGATTGTTCCTAATTATTCAAATTTGTACAGATTACAAGGAAATATACAAATTTCCTGATTTATTCTTTCCTAAAATACTATTTGATTTCCCACACATTTCATTCCAAGAACATATAACACACTCTCTATTATGATCACTTCTTTCTCATTCTTCTTTATCACAATATCACCAATCTCTACTGCCTCAATAACATTGTTATCTGCAAGCCTCACTTTACTGGTTTTACTTGTATCCAAATTCGAAATCCAATTTCTATGACCTGTCATATGGTTGGAACAACCCGTATCCAAGAACCAATTACCTGTTATGAAACCTTCTTCACTGGAAGGAACCATCAATACAACAGGTTCTTCATTGGTTTCATCCTGTGCCACGTTTGCTTCAGCCTCAACCTCTTTTCTCTATTTGCCTTTTCCAAACCAACAATCAGCAGCATAGTGCCCCCACTTCTCACAGTTGTAGCATTGAATCTTTCTCAAATCTTGATTCTTTCTTCCTCCTCTTCCTCTGCCAAAACTACCTTTGGCAGTTCTCATTTGTTCTGTACGTTCCCCAAAACCTCCTGTATTCTTTTCTTGATTTAAAGAACCACCTTCTTTATCAAAACGACCACCATTTCTATTTTTCTTCCATCTTCCACGCAAAAAAACTCCTTTTTTTATAGCAGCTAACGCCTGTTCTTCTTCTATATTCACAACATTTTTTGCTACAAGCTTCAATTCATGAGCTTCTAGTGATCCCTGCAGCTCCTCCACTGTCATCTCCTCTGTATCTTTTGACTCCTCTATAGCCACTACAATATAGTCGAACTTCATTGAGAGAGTACGTAATATTTTTTCAACCATACACTGTTCTGTCACATCTGCTCCACATGCTCTCATCGAATTAACCAAGAACTGGACTCTGTTGAAATATTCCGCAACACTCTCTGATTCCAACATGGCCATCAACTCAAACTGCCTTTTGAGAGCCTGCCGTTTCACCTTCTTGGTTTTCTCTGCTCCACCATGTACTTTCTGCAAAATATCCCAAGCTTCTTTCGTTGTTTTCGCCTTGGAGATCTTTTCAAAATTCACCGTATCCACACATTGATGAAGAAGACAACGAGCCTTGCAATCCTTCTTTTTGTTTGCAGCTTCGTCTTTCTCCTTCGCACCATCTCTGACTACTTCCAGCAATTCTTGATAACCAAGAATAGCCTCCATCCGAATGACCCAATGATTATAGTTCTTGCCATCAAGAATTGGTAGGTTAGATACGAAATTTCCGCTTCTATTGGCTGCCATGACTTTCGTTCCCAATATCTGAACCTCTGCTTCTGATACCACTTGTTGGAGAGCAGAGAAGAATTAAGAAATACTGTATGCACACGTATGCACACTACGTGTTTGTATATTTGCGTAAGTGTTATATGAAAAAGGTATCAAATACAACTAAGAGAGATAACTCTTATATACCGATTTAACTACCAAAAACAGAACTATATCAGCTGTAAACAGAAACTGAATTATAACAGAATACAACAAATCCATGGGTCTAGTTCCATTGAGTTAATCTGTAATTTGAAGCTTGTCAACATAAAAACAAACATTATAAAGCTGTGTTTGATTTTCAGTTCACAAAGACGTTGAACATCAACTCAACATTTTCTCCCATTCACATTCAACTATTAAGGAAAAGTTGTGCAAACATGTAAACACAGAGTGCATGTTTGATTTCAGTTTGGAGTCTGCAATCCACGTTTCGGATGTACAAAATGAAAACTATTCCAACTATTTCAGTTTGAATGTGAAATATGGATCTGCATTTAACTTAACCTGACACGAAAACGAAGATGCACTAAAGCTTCTGACCAAGAAGGGATGGCCTATAAAACACATGGCTTTGGGCAATCTCAATGCGGTCACGGGGATCATTCATGGTCTCATCTCTTAATGCTTGAAGAATGGCCTGGGCCGGATATTCCCTGCAGACCAAGGTCAAAAGCCATTGAAAAAGCTAGTTTAACAATTGAATTCAGTTCTCTCGATAGTTTTCATACAAATGAGAAAAAAGAGGTAGCAAAGTGGGTTACCTTGTTATCAAAATTCTGTATAACATCCTCAAGATGGGACAAAGCTCCGCTGGGGCAACATGCTTGTTTTCTTCAGGATTTAGGACATTCAAGCTAGACAGACTAAGTAGCTCATAAAAGGCCCTTACAGCAGAGACTCCCTACAACATGCAAAGTAAAGTTATTTATCACTGACAAATAGCAAAAAAAAAATATATATACATATATATATAAAAAGCCGATTTAAATATGCTTAAAGCAAAATATTAAGTCATATTTTCAGGAATCAATAATATATTTTAGTCCAGAAATGAATATAGTAAAACTTTTTTCTTTTTTTTTACTTGTAATTTTTGTCATCCCCTTGCTTGTATGTGATAATCTCTTCATTTAACTTCATTGTTTTATTCTTAAATTTTTTTCATGGTAGGTTTAAGCTCCTCCAACTTATGTAAATTTTTCAGCTCAACTTTAAGCTTCTCTATTTCATGATTACGATATTCGAGCTCTTTATTCTTATGCTTAAGAGTCTCTCATCTTTGACCTTTAAGAGTTTTTCAGTCTTTTCCTTTTCAAGACACATCTGTTGTAGCATTTCCTGCATTCTTAACAATTTTTTCTCAAGTAATTATTGTTTCTTAGTCGTTTTTTCCAACAATGATATTGGTCTAGTTGGTTGTTAGGGTTTTCTCCTTAAAGACTCTTTCGTTCCTCTTTGTCAGTACTTCATATTCTTTTTTCAAATAATTCCAAATTTCTTTGACTTTAGGATTATGATATGATGAGAATCACTGGTGAAATACCTGCATATAAACTTAATTTCGTTTTTGCCTTCCTCATTTTCCTTTCCTTATGAATTTTGATTTGGACTAGGTGGGATTTTTAGGCAACTGGTCAATAATGTAATCCTATTCCACCAAGAATTAAGACCATTTTAATGCCCCTTTTTGCCATGCATAAATTGAACCAACAATTAAGATAAGCACAAATATGAAAGCTTCTATAAATATGGATACCCCTAATACATCGAAACTCATTGCCCATAGATAAAAAAAACCGTTACAACATCAAAAACAACAAAAATGAGAGCAAACATATAATAGCGAATTCAAATTTGTAACCAAGCATCGCCTATTGGTTCTATTCCGGATTCATAACTATAAAGTTTTTCAAGTCCCTTCAAGATTGGATTACATTCTCATAGTCCATAGGTCATAATTTTCGCCACCAAAAAGAGAATAACAACTTGTGAAAAACTTCTTTTTCCTTCCATTCTCTTTATAAGAACCAACACTTTTGATATCACTAATAAGAATTTTTAGGGTTTTTGTGTATGTGTTTTTATTCATGTACTCATATTCTCTATATAGAGTAAAAATATGACAAAATATCAAATCTTGATAATATCTCAATCAAAATAATAACTTAATATCTTTTTGTCTTATTTTAAACAATAATAAAAATCTATTAATACATAATTTAAATAAAAGATAACAAAGTAATATTTTTAACAGTACATAAAAGAAATAACAAAAAAAAAAAGAAATAATCATCTTTCATAAACTAAGATTAGTTTATGCATAAGTGAATATCAACTTCGGAAAATGCCAAAAAAGATAGGTTAAAGTTAGTTAATGCTCAAGTGAGTATAAGTTTTTCTGAAGAAACTAAAATCTTTTAGGTTATGAAGAAAGATTATTACATTTTTCCTTTATACTTTTTTCGTCTATAACATAAAGCGTGTCCAACAGAGCCTTAGTTCAAATCCAAATTTTTTTCATATTCAATTCCTAGTAGTAAAACTTTATTTTCTCCATTGATAATCATCAGAAGATATTACATATAAATAGAAGTAAAATGGCTGAAAACAGGAAATCCATAAAATCTGGAATCTCATCAATCAGCAGATCTCTAGGACTAAAAGCACATGATTTTGTAATTATAAGGATTAAAAAAATAAATAATTAGAGACCACCGAGGTTTTATATTGTGATCACAGTAGCAGTTGCGGTTATATTCCAATCCTTGAAATTGTGAAAAAATGCAGCTGAAGTGGCCACAATTGTGATTGCAATTACATCAAAAAAGCTTGGAGACACAGCTGAAATCCTAGTCATAGACTGTTTTTAAAACCTCGGAGATTAGTATAAAGAAAATAACATAATTTCAGGGATCAAATGTATATTTATGCCTAATTCTTTATTTCTGATTATCAAGCAGCAAGACAACTATTATACCCAAGTCACAAGCATGTTGAAATTTGCATGTACGAAGTCTATACCTGAATCATTCCCTTGCCCTTGATACTGTCACCCATTTCAAGGTTCAGCTCCCCTTTGGCCAACTTCTGTCCATACCATGCATTACGACCTTTCAACAAAGTGACGTAAGTATCAGCCAAAAGTGGCCCTGCAAGTTTCTCCGGTTCTTCTGCTAATAGATGAGTAATAAAAATCATCTCTGAAGTACAGTGAGCAAAGTATACTGATTTGCTGGTGGCACTTTCATTTGTTAAAGCAGCCACCATTCCTGTTAAATTGAAATATCATGAATACGGTTTATTAGATGTGACACTATTAAAAGAGGCCGCTCAAACAGGCAGAAAATTAATTAAAAAGTTTAAAACGTCAAGCACCACTCAGAAATATAAACACCTTATATTTAGTCTATAAGACATCCCAAACGATATTAGGCAAAAAGTAAACACATTAAACTAGACTCTACAATGGAAAAAGATAAAAAGCAAAATGCTCAAGAGTCAAAATGGCAGGAAGTAGGAACCTGGGAAATCTTGTAGCAAAAAATTGCCACAGGTGTGATCATCCACTATCTAATGAGAAAGATGTCTAAAACATAAATTGTGCACATAATGCTATAAAACACTTGATGACTTTGCACTCACACCATTTGCTATACTTAAATCAAATAACAGGCACCATGAGCAACAGGAAAAGCTCCGACACAAAATATTTTCTCCGGATGCTATATCTCCTCGATAAAACCACAGCCGATGTTATCTATCTCCTGTTTAAAGTTGCATTTGCCTACTTGCTTCTATGAAGCTGTTATTTATAATGTATAGAAATGTAATAAGAAAAATGACAAAATTACCAGCTCCAATTGCATATACATTCTTTAACCCACCCATGATTTCATGGGTAACAAGATCACCATTATCCCATACTATAAAGTGAGGCTGCCTTAAAAACTTTGCCAACGGTTTCCTCCATTTTTCTGCCCCACATAACCGAGCATTTGCATATTCTTTGTTGTAAATTTCTGAGGCAATATTTGGTCCTCCAAGATAAAGAATGTTCTCCAAGGGAACTCCAGCTGCAGAGAAAAATCAGGCAACGATGGGAATTTGATAAACATGGATGTCATGCACCATTACAATACTAAGCACTCCATAAAGAATATCAAGATCTTTTCCCACATAAACAAATAAACTATTCTGCTATCATAAGGTTCAATTACATAAGCTTCTATCGAATGCCAAAAAAGTGATAATAACTCAAAAATCAATTATGCAAAAGGTATCAACTACGGATGTATATTTTTAAATTTTATTAAACATAATCTTAATATTTTGAAAGAAACGATTTGCACTCTCGGGCTACTCCTGCAGGGCAATCAAACATCAAATGGTCCACTGTATAGCAGATTGTTGTAACCCTCAGAATACAGAGATTACAACAGAGATATTCAACTCAAATGAATTAATAAAATTCCATCTCAAAGAAAAAGTTCTAATTGTTATCTTGTTATTCACATATTGCATATTTATTCTAATTTAGGAAAAAGGCTTCAGATTTAGTTTGTCTCAACATAAAAGAATAAACCAAAAATCATAAGAGCTCATATTAAGTTTATACAGAAAAACAATGTAAGATATATATACACACAGGGAAAATATAACCCATATTTTAAACTATTGGATTTCAGAAATGAAATTCAAATAATTTCAATTTGTTTGAAAATTTTATTTCAACTTATAAATGGACAACACTCATGCATGTTAGTAGGCATAAAATGGCTTCAAAAGATAGTGAAAGCATGCAGAGATTCCACATCAGGATCCAATATCATGAAATTCAAAAAGTTTAAGAAGTGGCTCTTGTAAATTATTGTCTTCAATCACCTAACAGATGGGAAGGGATGTAAAATCTTGTCTAGTAGCCCAATATTATATACTTCTAAGCAGCTATTGAATTGGACATCCCAAAATGTGCTTCCTCATTTTCTATTGTACAACAAATTACTTCCCAACTAAAGATTAAATCCTTCAAATCAATGCTTTAAATACCGGACTGAATAGGTCATTTTTTATCAATTAATTTGGGAACGATTGGTACTTTAGAAAGACACAAGAGAAAGGTTATCAATGGTTGAAGTTTTCAGGCCAATGTACAAGCTTTCCAGGATTGTTTCGACAATTCAATACAGTGTCTTGGTTGAATTTCATTCCCTTATTCTCAAGCTTGTCAGGAAATATTACAATATTCAGAGAGAAAATGGAAGAGAAGGTATATTTTATTATTACTGTGCTGACTCCGACGAGAGCAGAGCAAGCTAAGACTACTGTTCTGACTCAGGACTTATGTGACAGTATAAAACTGTTTTAACAAAAAAGTTATTGTAACTAACTGACAACCGTTACAAAGATAATGATCATCTATAACAAAAACTATTGTGCTTTAGTAAACAACACAAACTAACATACACTAACACACACACACCCCCCCCCACAATCACAGGGTCATTGAAAATAGTCAATGACTTTCAGTTTGTCTCTCAAGTAACAGAACCGAGCCTTGAAGAGATGTTTGGTAAGAATATCAGCAAGTTGGTCATATGCAGGTACATGAATGATCACTAAGAATCTTTTCTCAAACAAAAATGATATTCAACCCCGTGTGTTTTGTCTTGGGATGTAAACTGGATCATCTACTTCTTCTCTGTCCCTTCTTTCTCATCTTGTCCTTCACCTCCTAGGTCTACTCATCTTAAGCACATATGTTCTAAATCCAATATTGTCCAGTCTTGTCTTAATCCCACCTTAGTCCTTACTGTTGCAGAACCATCTACGGTAAAGTAAGTTTTATCCTCTCCACTTTTTTGGAGGCAAGCTATGAATGTTGAGTATGATGCTCTATTGGCTAATAACACATGGTATCTCACCTCTCTTCCACCAGGCCAAACTACTAGTGGATGTATATGGGTGTTTTGAATTAAAAGAAAATTTGGATGGTACTATTAACAGATACATGGCTCATCTATTGGCTAAGGGTCTGAATCAGAATTTTGGTGGTGACTATTCAGATACTTTCTCTCCGGCAATAAAGCCTATCACTATTAAGCTCGTTCTAACCTTAGCTCTTACAAATAAATGATCTATTCAACAGGTTTATGTCAACAATGCATTTTTAAATCGATTAGTAGATGTTTACATGACCCAACCACCGGGCTTTGAGTCAGCTGATTCTGATACAATATTACAATCTAATTTTTGGAGAGAAAATGAAAGAAAAGATAGATTTTATTATTACTACAATATTCAGTTTAATACACATTTATCATAGACACTCTATGAAGAGTACATGACAAGTGTACTGTGCTGACCCTGCACTTACGCGATAGTCAACAAAACTGTTATAACAAACTGAAAAGATGTTGTAACTAACTGAAAACAGTTACCAAGATAATGATCACCTATGACAAAGATTATCGTAAAAACTACCAGTAAATCATATAACTAGGCCTGTCTCCACAAACAGGGAAAGGTTTATAGTGTTTCAGCAGTGCACTAGAGAAACCAAAAAGGGGATCAGGAATTTTGGCCTAGTCAGAACCACATAAATTCAAATAAAACTACTTAAGTATGCTAAAAGAGGACTAACTTAGCATTAGAGATGTTTTCTGTTTTACAGAAATGCAGATATAAAGAAAAGAAACTTTAGAGTGCAAATCGCTCAATCAATAAAGCAGATAACAAAATAAATGTAAATGCATCTTACTTGCTCGATTGATCATTAGAGTGGGAGTTATTATCCGAGGCTCAGGGCCCAATTCAGCCTCTACACCCTTCGCCAAGGATACAATGACAGGGGCAGTGATTCTCTCTTTCCAGTACTTACTAATTTCCTGAAACACCTCAAGAGTTTCTGTTGATGGCAAGCCATTAATCACAATATCAGCATCCCACACAGCCTCCTGCAGGTTTGTCACAACCTTCAGAGGGCACAGAGGGGTATCTATCATATTCAAGCAAAACCCATCTTTCAAAATCTCATCTGCATGAAGTATTCTATCACCTAACCTAGCCTCAACATATTTCAAATATGCACACCTCCTAATAAGCCTCCTCAGTACATTCTCCCTTGAATTGATCACCTTGAACAATTGCTCAGCCGTTGGCCTGTCAACAGCTCTTCCCGGTCTTCTCCATATCCTTATCAGAACCTTTTCTCTCAAACTACCATAAGCCTCTTGCAACATAGCAATAAACACACTACCCCAAGCACCAGCTCCAACACCAACTATTCTTAATGGATCACCCTCCACTTTCCCAATAAGGTCACGAATCTCATCAACCTTCTCTTCTAAATTACCGCCATTTACATTCAGAAGAGAACAACTTGAATGGCCATTCCCATTGCGTCCAACCATCTTCCTTCAATGACACTGATAAAGCACCACGACGTTACCCCACAAATCCTGACAGATTTGCCAACAAAATCTCTCTATTTTCTAATAACCCCTCAAATCCTAGTTAAAAACCTCATTCAAGATTGCGAGCTCTTACCTTTAACATCAAATTCTACCTAAAACACCCAACCCCAACAGTCACAGCATCAGGTAAAAAACACAGAACTACCTTACAAAAAAAATATTCAAGAATATCCAACGAGGTAATAATGATATGAATAAGTGATTATATAACCCTTCATGTGCAACAACAACTAGCCTCTTCCAGGCACTTCTACCTTCGCGACAAGCACAAAGAAAGGCAAACAAGAAACCTCAAATCCGCAATTTGGTAAACTAATCCAATCAAAAGTTTTAACAAAACAAATAAATTATGTGGACGAGTCCACCAATGCCATGCCAATTTAGTTTTGCGTGGAATTGTGGAATTGAAAACGTGCTTTTGAGTGTGAAAGGAGAGAAGGTGATAGAAAATTGGGAGTCACTTTCTCTGGGAAGGGGAAAAAGGATTAAGGAAACGCGGCGTTAGTCAACTTCCAGGGAAAAGCATGTTTCTGACACCAAAATCATTCATATTGAAATTGTTTTATTTTATCTTATTTTAAAAAAAAGTTTCATTAATTACAAAGCATAGTAAGAGTTATTAATTGTTGTTGTTGTAGTCTAATTAAATTCTTATTGAAAACTTAGTTAGAACTTTCTTTCGATATATTTCCCTCCGACATAATTTATTCTTAATAAAGCTTTATCAATTATATTAATTTTAATTAAAATTAAAATTTTCTAAAATATGTTGATGTGATTTAATTAAATTTAAAATTAAAAAATACTCGGATAATGCTATCACTAAAAAGTACAATTCAAAGTTTTTGCTATAGCCTTATAATATTTTAAGATAATAGTTGTTTTATTACACTCACTTTTGCATGTTTATTTTCGTTTGAAATTTGATTATAATTATATAAAGTTGCAAATAATCAATTATAAACCCTATTTAATTAAATATAGCATATAAAAATATATGAAAATTTATTATATTGAAATTAGAATGTTAAGCACTTTACTTAATAAGTTAAGTTTACCTATTAAAAAAATTCATATCTTAATAAATGAGATTAAATTAATTGTTGTTGAACCCATCAATTATTTTTTTTATAGAGGTGGTGGATCAAACTACAATTGAATCATGGTATTCAATGTGTTTTGCTTCAAGTTTTGTCATGATTATTTACTATAATTTTTTTAGTCCAATGATAAATACATATTCAATATTAATTTGATCACAAATGTTAATTAAAAATAAACTCCATTAATTAAAAAATAACGAGTAATTGTGATTTGTGATGACTAAATTAACATGAAATAAAAATATTTAAACTTTTTTTTGAAGAAACGGATTTCAATAGAGTGAAGTTTTGAGATATGATAACTTGGTTAACCCTGTATAAATATATATATATATATTCACATAAGTATGCCATGAGGCCTATTTTCATTTTAACTTTTTTTTTTTCACGTTATTGAAACGTGGCTACGTCATGAGAAGGTTATTGATTTATGAAAAATTTGTTGGCCAGGGGCAAGTAAAGCCAAAGGGTCATAAACAGATTTTCTTTGCTGGAAAATCTCCCATTGGGAACCAAAGTGAACCCTCCATGCTTCCTGTGTAGTGTAGTGAGGCAAATATTGCTTTACCCCTAGATGAGCTCTTTCACAGTACTCTAAAATTTTTTTGTTCTGACTCAAAATGTGTTCAAGCCCATCAGAACCGTTGGAAGAGGGCACTGCAGAGGCAAGAAATGCCACCAAGTAGAAAATATCTTCCTCTGGCATAACAACAGAAGTTCTGTTGTCCCATCTGCATAACACGCGGTCAAACATTTAATTAATACATGAAAATTGAAAAATTTAGTAATAAAATGGATTCTGGTGAAATAACAGTAGTTGAGTAATGAATTGCTTGATAAACTCTAGTTTTTGTTATGAGAGTGGAGAGTAATAAACAAGTTTTGATGGTGGGAAAAAGAAAGAAAGAAGAAAACAGGTTTTGTGTACCATTACTTTGATTTATTTACTGGGTAGATAAGGACAGGGCCGTTGGTAGTTTCTGTTACGATGTTCCCGAAGACAACCTCTGCAAAATGGTGTATTTTGGTTTTGGGTATGAATAGATTGAGCCAGGGGTGTGGAACATCCCACAAGCCTTTGGAACGCAACTTGACCTCTGAGATATGCACCCTGTCTAGAAAGTCTACATATGTGACTTCTGTTAGGAAAAGTGTTGATGGGATATAGTTCAAGTGGGACAAATGTTTCTGAACTTCCTGAAAAGAAAAAGAAACATAGCATAACATTGTGAGCGAGATGGTTGAGTTAATTTTGATTTGTTTTTGTGTAATGTATTTTGAAAAAATTGTAAAATCAAAATCAAACTTTTTGGTTGAGCTGTTGGTCTCTCACCTGATTCACTACGAGGGTTTCTTCCAGATTGTAGTATTTGGCCAATTCCAGGCAGAAGAGAGTTCTTCCATCTGACTTGAACTTGCTGGCTTGAACTGGGTCTTGCGGGTTGAAGGATGATCTCCAGTTATTTAGCAGACCAGTTCTGTTTATTATCACAAATCCTTCAACATAATCAAAAGCTTTTTCTGCAAATATTAGTTGCTCTTGGTCTCTAGTGAATGCTGTGAAATCTGTATACAGCACCTTGATCCATTTTACCTGTTCAAAAACAGAAATACTCCATGATCGCAACTGGTACTTGCAAGCATCTAATTAAATGGAAAAGGTCTTGTTTATGGTATTCTTGTTCTTGATGCATTACCATGGTGGGTGCTGGTTCCAGGAATATTCTTGCTCTTGTTATAATGCCAAACTGACCTAGCCCTCCAAGTACACTGTGAAAGAGGTCATCATTCTGCTTCTCAGAACAGTTTACCACCTCTCCAGTTCCTGCAGTCATTTTATAGACCATCTTTTTCATGCATCCAAGAGAAAGTATATCTTTTGTTTAAAAACTTAATTACAACTTGAGACTTCCTACGTTGTCCAAGTCAAATAATGCATACTAGGGAATTATGTGAGTTTCAAGTGAATTATTAGTTCACAAGAGACAAAATAGTAGCTGTTGCAGTATTTTGGAATATGTAGAATATATTTTATATGTTAACCATTTGAACCCTTGATGACCTTGTTCTTATCTGCCACATGCTTTTTCACATTTATTTTTTCACAAAGTTACCAACCTGTAACAATCTCCAGCTTCTGAACGTTACTTATCTGCGGACCATGCCTAAATGCCTGGCCACTTACACCAGCGTTGGATAAAGTGCCACCAACAGTGAGATGTAAGTAGTCTGTCCATGATCTTGGTGTCAATCCATACCTTAGTGTCTCATGCAAGATGTTTATCCACAATTCCCCTCCTGAGACATCCACATAAGGAGATTCTCCTGTATACACCTGCATTTCTGGGGCATTGAGTGACTCCATGTTGATCACAACTCCTCCATGAGACTGTGCTTGGCCCTGGAGTGAGTGGCCATGGCCCCTAGCTGCAACAGTGAGCTGAGAGCTAGGCCCCAAGTTCCATATATGCCTTATGGTGTCTGCAATGTCAGAAACTGATTTTGGATGCAGCACTGCCATGGGGTGAGACTGGTACCTGTTCCCAAAGTCCCTGGCTGCATGTTTAAGGTCAACTTCTTCAAAACTGAAGTGTCCCTCCAAGGGAAGTGCTTTGAGTGAAGAAGGTATGCTGGAAATACAGAAATTAAGCCTAATGGTTAAGCAACTGAGGAACAAAACCATGAAGCCTCTTATGAACAGAATGTTGTATTCTCTAAGGAGGCTAAATGATGGATATCTCATTTTTCTGTAAGGTAGTTAAAGGGTGGAGAAGCTTAAAAACAAAAGGGGAAGTGATGGAGTGACGAAAGAGGAGAGGGTTGGGGCAGAATTTATAGAAGTTTCTAGGTGGCTGAGTCAACCTTTCAGTTATGAGAATCCGTATGAAGACTGGTAACTTGGGAGGATTCCTTTTGGTTCTCCCTTTTGGGCTAGTTTGTTTAAAGAGAAACCGAAGCCATCATAGTTATGCCAAGTTGAAGAGGAAAAGTGACAGCAAAGAGAGATCTCACAAATCTTCCCACTTTTCCAAACAGTTCCTACCACAACCCCATATTTCCATTAAGGACAGACATGTTTCAAATTTTATGATCATTAACCAATTTAAGTATGCTCCATCTTTTCCCATTTAGGAAAATGAAATTAAAAGAAAAAAAGAAAAAAAAATCCTTTCTTTTGTTTTGCCACTGCACACATATTTTCTCTCTGCCTCTTGGTATGCCCATGCTCCTGTCTACCTCACTATGTTGGAGTGGTGGTGATCGTGGTGGTGGTGAATCCATTACTGTCGGACTGTAAACATCAAGTATCCCTGTTATTAAATTGAATGAGAAGGACTTTGCGGGGTTGTATTAATACATTCAAGAGGGAGATATGACATTGGTGGGGTCATTGTTGGTCCATGTGACACGTGAAGTTTCATTCATTTTGTGCTACTGATCAACCATGTAGGGTCTAGGGACCTCTTCTTGGGCCATCCTTTGTAGGCCAAGCTATTGGAAGAAGAATAAATGGAAACAATGAAAGACTGCTATTAACATTCTGATGCAATGCTGCACAACCTCCACTGCACCACTGCTCTTGCTGCTGATGTTTTTTAGAATCTTTAGTACAAAGCTATTGGACAAGATTTTAGTGGTTCTCTTGTCTATACCTTCCTTTTGTTGTATTTGGATGCCACTGAATTGCTCTACTACTTGTACTCTTGTGTCTTTCATCCTTTTCCATTGCAAGTTGTATTTTGGTCCAATAAGAGATTTTCAAGCTTCATAGAGTGATACATAGATGAGCATCTCACCCCCAACCCCTCTATGAATGGATTGGAAAAGCATGCATTCTCAATCTCCTGTTGTTGGAATTATTTTTTGTCACCAAGGGGTTCCATGTGGTCCTGGAATTGCAAAGAAAACCTCCTTGTTCTGTTCCGTGTGGGAAACCTTCACTTATGAGAATAGCCTCTAGGTAGCAGCATCTATGTTGCTTTGAGGGGAAAACATAATGATTATAGTTCTTAGTGTTTGTCTCTCTTTTTGTTTTCTTCTCCTTAATAAGTTGGATTACTATTTCTGTCTGGTCAATCTTCCAATTAGGATATTCTATTTACTGATTATGGATTCCACATGTTTGCCTTTTATTGCTAAGATTTTTTTTTCTTTTTAATCAACATTTCTTTTGCTCTTTTTATTTATTTTTTTCTTTCTATTTAGCCTTATAAATTATTTTGGTTAATTGTAATTTTTATATATCTATTTTACAAAATCTTCAATTTGGTCCCTAACTTTTTTTTTTACTGTAAAGTTAAATATTTTTATTATCATCAAAAGGTGTGTTTTGAGAAGAAGAAAAAATTAAGATAAGTATATATTCTCTCTTATACATCAATTTATTAGGTTAAAGTAACTATAGCCTAAGATACATATAATAAATTGCATTATCTTATTAAAGAAATAATTCATAAATATTATGATGATATTTTTTTTATGTCCTCTTATAATGTAATAGTACCACCTTAAAAATAATACCTTTATATATATATATATATATATATATATATATATATATATATATATATATATATATATATATATATTAATATCCAAAGTTCCAAGCACTTGATGTATTCTCTAGACAAAGAAAAAGTAAGTGTAAAATTATTACCAAATTATCTATATAACTCTTAATTCATGTTTTAATGAAATATGTTTAAAACAACACTTTCAAATTAATATATCATTTTTTATAAGTAGTATATATTTTAATATATATTTAGAAAATTATTTTTATTATAAAATTATATATTTTTTAAAATATTTGAATTTAATTAATAGCATAATATTATATAAGAAAATAAAATATAATAAATTATTCATTTGACTTTTATAATAATTTTTATATTTATCACTTTTTACTAAAATAATTAAATGTCAGTATTCACATATAAATAAAAATTATATATATAAAAAATTATATATATAAAAAAATTATATATATAAAAAATTATTAGATCAAATATAATTTTATAAAATAACATTTCGGGTAAGATGTTTCACACATTCATATTCTCTCTCTCTCTCTCTCTCTCTCTCTCTCTCTCTCTCTATATATATATATATATATATATATATATATATATATATATATATATATATATATATATATATATTATATAAGCAAAGTTTACTTCTGTGGCAGTAGAACTACTTAAATTTTAGTAATTTTTTTATTTTATTGTATATATTATGAAACCTCTAAGTTCGAAATTTACTATAAAGAATCTTGGTCCTTTTAATTATTTTTTGGCACTCGTAATGATCCCAAGCATAAGGGTGGTATGTTCCTTTCACAGCGTAAATATGTCGAAACAATTATTTGTTGGTAAATTTGGGGTCATGTATATATATGATACATAATTTAAATGTGTTAGGATCATTATTTATTAAGCCATATAATATAGTGATCTGACTAAATTAAAGTTTTGGCTAAAGGCATATGTCATGAAAATAAAATTGTATAGAGACCATTGAGCAATTTCTAATTTGATGAGGGGCCAAATTGAAAATACTAAAACTTAAGTAATTAACTTTAAAAGGTCATCTTCTGGGAGCACACACAGAACGTAAGTCTCAGTTTTCGTTCCTTTCTTTCTATCCCCATCAAGAGAAAAAATCAAGAGAGAAATACAGGTGTTCTTCAGGTGGAAGATCATAAGATTAATATAGTGTTCTACAAAGACATCATCATTATGACTAATTCAGGTACGCTTTCGTATTCAGTTTACAGCATATTTATCAGTATGAGATTACATTTATGTTTGATAGTTAGAATCAAAATCAAGATTATAATTATTAGTTTTCCAACAATTAGTATCAGAGCCATCCATACTTGATTCATGTCTGTCGTAGGAAATATTTAAAAATTTAGATTCTGTTTAATTTATAAAATCTCAATTACCGTAAACCCTAAAATTTAAATTTGGGGGTAACATCCCCAATCTGATTATGCTCGCTGATGGAACCGTGGAGGAAGCTATGAATTCTTCTTCTTCTTCTTCGTTTTTCACTTTTGTTTCAGTTTAAGTTTCAAGTTTTACTGAGAAAGAAATAATGTTTCAAATTTCAATCTTTCTTGTATTGGGTTATCTGATCTCTTTAAATCTTTTGTTTTTGTTTTGTTTTCATTTTCTTTTTATGGTGGATATGGATGGGTTTTGGAATTGGGGGTAGTGTTTGGGGAGTTCCCAAAACAGAGGATCATAGTTAACTGGTGAATGTTTCCTCAGGTGTGACTGTTATTATTTTATTGTCTTTATCCTCTAGGGATTTAAGGGAAGTTGATGTTAAATTCCTTGTTTAGGGTTTGAGTGATTACTATTTAATCCCCTTTTAGGGTTTAGAGCAGTGTGTTAAAGAGCGTCATAACTATCTCTATTTCATCCCTAGTGTGATTTTAGGGAGATGTTCATCCTTTATGTGTTGGTGGAAAATGAGGTGTTTTCATCCTTTGATTTATTCAAAGGAGGTGTTCATCCCTAATGGGATTCTAGGGATGTGTTCATCCTTAGTGGAATTCTAATGAGGTGATTATCTTTTGAATTAGTTTGCAAATATTAAATATTTGATTTTGTTATATAAATAAAATATTCTATTTTTTAGTAGTTTAATATTTTTTGTGAGCAAATTGAGTCAAGAAGTCACCAAATTAACCTCTCTTGAATTGGACAGTTCATGAAAAATATTGAATGTTAGTGTTTGTGTATATTCATGTGAGTATTAGTCAGCCCAAAGGAAGATTAATATTTGGCCGAATTGCATATACACTTGTAATGATAAACATGTGATAATTATAAAGATTTGTTTTGTCGATGACAAATCAATCCACAGACTGATTTGTTATTGGACGTGCTTTATTGTCAATGTTTGATTATTACAAGATACCTCTAACAGTTAATATTACTGTCCAAATACTTGATATTGATGGTGCATTTGGTGTCTTGAGATGAATTAAACCATTATTTGAATATATATTTATAATTATTTATTTTTTATATAATGTGAGCATAATTAGTTTATTTCTCGTGTTTTAAATTCAGCTACAATTGCTTATGTATCTGCCAATTTAAATTATGTTCCAATCCTCAAAAGTATGTTTCCTACTTTGGTCTGTTCTGAAGTCAATTTAGCGTCAGTACCTAGTAACACTTGGTGGTTAGACTCAGGTGCAACTACTAATATCAGTGTTTCTATGAAGGGTTGCCTAAGCTACTGGAAGCCAATTGATTAAAAAAAAAAGGATATATGTTGGAGATGAAAAATCGGTAGAAGTGGAAGCTATAAGGCATTTTAAATTGTTATTGAGTACTGGTTTTTATTTGGATTTGAAATACATTTTTGTTGTGCCGTCATTTAGATAGAATTTGGTTTCAGTTTCTTATTTGGACAAATTAAGTTATTTGTGTTTATTTGGAAACAATAAGTTCAGTTTGTCTTTTAATTCAGATATTGTTGGAACTGATTCACTTTTGGCTTATGATAATCAGTATTTACTTGATATTGTGGTCACCTATAATGAAACCCTTAATATAGAATCATGTGGTACTAAACGTAAAATTGAAAATACTCACTCAGGTGCATTATGGCACAAGTGCTCAGGTCACAATCGAATCGTGACGCTTGAGTTTGTGTTACACTCTTAAAGATATGATAAGGAGTATGATTTGTCATTCCACCTTACCGGAATCATTATGG